GTTGTTAGTAAGTGATGACCTGTCCCTTGATTTTTATTCGACGCGTGTGCGGCGATGGCGCAGCCATCGATCGAGGGTCGAATTCGAACCGCGTTGTGTGATCGGGATCGCGCTCGCTGAAGGTGAATGCCTTCAGGGAAGTCGTGTTCTGTATACGCAACTGCGCACAATTCTGTGAGTCGCTTATAACCGCTTTGCCGTTACTTATTGCCAATTATGGACTCAGACTATTGTCCCATCATCTCATAGAGTCCCTGTCACACAATAACATGCTACACAGTAGCAGTAGGGGTCGCAAAATGCCGATTTATTACTAATAAACCCCAATGATCCGATCTAAAATAGGGATTTCGATCGGATCATTGGGGCGGGGGGCACGTGCCCCCCCACGTCCTCGAGCCCCGTGTCCACGCGCCCGGCAGCGGCCACCCAGCCGGGTCCGTGTGCCCCCCCCCCCCCCGCAATGAGACGACGGGGAGTTCAGACAACGACGACGACGATCACGAGTTTATTGCAAATATTAAAACTGGCGTCCCCCCCCCACCCTCCGTGCTAACTGCGGACAATCTGATCGCTTCCACAACAACACGTGGGCTGTATTAATTATGATTCAACTGTTATTCATATACCAGCCTTCAAACTTTCATTTTTACACACACGGAAACGTCTTTATTCATCATCATCATCACCACGACCGTTATTGTTATGCGCCAAAATAAGTTGACATCACGCGTGAAAAGGGGGTTTTTCTTTGCCGCCTAACAGCACCCTTGTATTATTAATATGATGCAGCGTGTTAGAACGGACGTGCATGAAACCCGCCATACACACACACACGCCGCTCCGTCTATAATATGATCACGTACACACACACACGTACGTACACACACACGTATGTAGTACACACACACAGAATCGTCTCAGCACCGAGGCTAAACGAGGGGCTGCCTTGGGGCAGGACTCGGGACCAGGGGGACGAGAGTCGCCGCAGCAGCGAGCATCGCGAGGACGCCTTCACCGCACACGGCTCCGTTGCGATTCGTGTGAAACGTCACCGCCAAATCGTCCCCACAATTGCGCTGCTGCTGCTGCTGCAACAGCAGCGAGGCCACGAGGCACAGCGGCATCGTGAACGGAATCCACGCCACCAGCGGAGGAGCCTCGCCACAGCCGAGAGGCACGGCCCTGGAAGACTGCGACACAGCCACTGCAGCAGCCGCTGCAGCAGTCGAAGCTAACTGTGCCAACAACCAAACGTGAACACATTCGCCGTTAAGCCCACTGTGGCCTTCGTGAAACATATACAACAGGCGACGTTTAGGGCAATGGCCCCTATTTCATACACAGAGACCAGAGTGATTATATCGATGCACGTTAAACTTCTTTAGCTGCGTACGTAGCCAACCGTGCGAAATCGGAGACCGAGTGGATAAGACGAGTTGGAGACGGCGCTTGCGCAACACAGCCCGTGTCACTTGGGCTGGCCTCTCTGACTCGACACGAGGCGGCGAGCCTGCCTGCCTGCCAGCCTGTGAGCCTGCCAGCCTGCGAGCCTGCCAGCCTGCCTGTGAGCCTGCCTGCCTGCCTGTGAGCCTGCCTGCCTGTCTGCCCTCCTCCGCTCGGAACGAACGGGTCACGGCACATCAACCCCATCGCGCGCACGCGTGCAATGGGATTCTCCGAGCAGGGACGGGCCACGGCGAGAGGTAGAACTGGGCGACGATGAGGTGACGAGGCGGAACGCGCGGCACCTGGGAACCCGCGGCACCTGGGAACCCGCGGCACCTGGGAACCCGCGGCACCTGGGAACCCGGTTGACATCACGGGCGGTGGCGCTGGCTCCCTGCTGCGCCACGGCCGTGATGGTCCGCGCAGAGCCACCCAGTCGCCAACGACCGTCACACCAATTAACACCCAGCAACAGAAACCAACAACATCGTTTTGACCATTGGAACCTCCTTTGCCAGTAACAAAATATGATAATTGTTTTTTACCCTTTTATCTGGCAACAAAACTGACACCTTTTTTTTGCCGTCATCTGGTCCAACCCCATGTGAGACGAGGCTCTAAGAAAAGCTGTCTCGGGCGTGGACCAATTTCAAGGACAGTGCATACATTATCAGAGTTGTGTTTTTTGTTTGCATTCCGACCGCAGGTATTGTGGTCAATGCAAACATGACTCCTTGTAAAAAAGGTGTCAGTTTTGTTGCCAGATAAAAGGGTAAAAATACAATTATTATTATTCCCATCGTTTTGCTCAATCTGACCGCTCGGGATCGTTCGCTCTCGAGAGCCGATTGGTTCACAGCGCCCACGGTGACAGTCCACCCCCTACGACACCTTTTCCCACACGCGCAAAGTAATCTACCCGTAACCATGGCAGAGGCGTTTGGGTGTGCGCAGCGGATTTCCATGCCCTACAATTAACCACAAATTGCGCATCTCTTGACGAGGGCAGTGATAGCAAGTGCCCCGTGTCTTGTGCAATCTGTCCCACCGTTGTAAATGTCACGGGAAATGACGATGTAAATGATGGCGATGGGATGATTGACGTGGTCACGAGATGAGCGAAACCAGTGAGAATCAGCCACCGTCAACGCCACCAAATTCGGGCACTTTTTTCCTCATTTAGTTCAGTAAAAAAAGACGTGTAACTACCTCAATAACAACTTTCACGCCGTCATTTGTATAGATCAGGGTGATTATTCACCGGGAAGATGTGGAAGTTGCACAGATTCAATCGGTTGAAATAAAATTATGCTCGTTTTGTTTTCCCCCTTCCTCACCTAAGCTTCGAACGCACGGAGGGCGAGGTTTATCCACACGGCAAGAGCCGCATACTCAGCAGCCGCCTCTCCCCTCTGAAGTAAAGATATGGGAGAGGTGGCTGGCTGAAGAGTTTGCAGCTCAAGTTCTATGGAATAGGAGCCACAACCTGATATATGGCTCGAGGAATTTTCTAAGCTTTCTAAACCAAACATTGTATTTTACCAGGTAAGGCCCACTGAGCGATGGAGCTCTTCTTCAGAAGCGACCTATCACAAATGAGAGCCCAACGAAGTGGCTTATCGGGGGAAATTTATAGCAGCCAAATACTCTAAACGCGTGTTTCTAAATGTGGAGGGGAAAACCGGAGGGACCCAGGGAAAGATCTACGCGACCACGGGCAGAAGATGCAAACTCCAAATAATACAGGCGTCAAGGGTCGGGATCGAACCCACGGCCTCCTGAACACCGGGCGAGGAAGTTAACATCGTCACTCTACATGCGAGTGAAATTTAGTAGGCATGTTGAGCAAGGGCTTGGAAATTACCAGCGCAGGAATGGGCGCTCATTTCAAAGAACATTTTAAAGTAGCCGACCAACAGAAGAATATCCCCTTGTTCAGCCTGACACGATGCCGGGGAGGCAAGTGCTGTTCAGCGAGCACCTCGTGAAGCTCACACCCCGCACGAGGAGCATGGCGAGGCCAGAATCACACACGGCCCGGCTGCCTTTGACCACCACCACCACCACCATCACCGGCGCTACTTCTTCTAGGCCGGATCCACCTCGTTGCAGACCCAGGCCAGGCTCGGTGACCACTTCCAGACGGCGCGCGCCGTAGACCTGGAATTGGACCCAGGTTGCCCAGACTGCGGCACGATGCGCTCGCTTTGTAACCACATGGCAACACCAAAATAGGCACCCTTTACCCACACAGCCTGTACAGCGAGTAGTGCTGTTAAGCGAGAACCTCTTAAGGACAGCGCACACCACACACATCGGCGGTGCGGCCAGGTCCAGTGCCATCCACCTTTCGTCTCTCCAATGCCGGGCTGTTCAAGCACCGCACCGGGAAAAAAAACTCACCAGGCCGAGTCGACCTAGGGGGGAGGCCCAAATCGCGTTCAAGATGCCATTTGCGGGCGGCGTTGCCCATCACGGTCGGGGATTGAACCCGGGCCCACCGTGGGCGATTCGCTGCCACATCGCTCCTCGTGCCGAAATGCATCGGCCAACTTCGACAATGCACACTCACACGAACACTCACGCACACACTCACTCACACGCACACTCACGCACACACTCACTCACACACTCACTCACGCGCACACTCACTCACTCACGCGCACACTCACTCACTCACACGCACACTCACGCACACACTCACTCACACGCACTCACGCACACTCACTCACGCGCACACTCACGCGCACACTCACGCGCACACTCACGCGCACACTCACGCGCACACTCACTCACACACTCACTCACTCACGCACACACTCACGCGCACACTCACGCGCACACTCACGCGCACACTCACGCGCACACTCACGCGCACTCACGCGCGCACACTCACGCGCGCACACTCACGCGCGCACACTCACGCGCGCACACTCACGCGCGCACACTCACGCGCGCACACTCACGCGCGCACACTCACGCGCGCACACTCACGCGCTCGCACTTACGCGGATGCGCACAGACACCAAGACTGAAGTCCACAGGCGGACGTGGGGCAGATTGATGCAGGGCTACAAAGCACCCCCCCCCCCCCGTGGTGCGGGGGGATAGCGGGGAGGGAATCGGATCAATGCGGCGATGGGAGTGTACCTGGCCGCCTGGCACCGGGGTTAGAATGTTCTCCGTACCGATCGGGAGTTCAAGTCCAGCGAAAAGCCGACTCGGCCCGTCGCGTCTTCAGACGTCAACAATTGGGCGAGCCCCACTCTGCGGGAAGACGCGAGTGGTCATCGTGTGGGGAGACTCGGCCTCCGCCGCGGCAATGCGGAATCCCCATCGCTGGCTCAGGTTCGCTCAGAGAGAGCACGGTCCACACCTGCGTTGCTCGTGTGGGAGCCATGGAGACGAAACACTTCCCACGCGACGTTCCGGGGGTGGGTGGGGGGGGACCGCCTCGTGGGTGGTGGAGGCAGTGTGGGGCCCAGGGAATGGCTCACCTAGGAGGGGACAGGTGTGCGGGCCGGCTCGGATGCAGTGGTTACAGTCAAGTAGAGAATTTAGTTCCACGTTTATTAAGTTATTACTATATTTGTTTCATTGTCCCACAAAACATTGTTTCATCGATTATATACCAATTGTGCTTTTGGTGTCGGAGGCACATGGCAAAACATTATTTTGTTTGTGTTTTTAATCCATTTTTAAGATTCCCATACGGACAGCGGCCGAACGTCTCGATGCAGAACAACACAGTCCACGACACGCCCTAGCCCGCAGCGTCTTCCAAGAGCCTATCTTACACGGCTAACATTGTTTATAATACATTATTGTTACCATATACCTTTCCTTTATACTTCACCTTGTCGAGTGCAACTGCGCTGTATTAACACGGGAACACGGGGGGGGGGGGGTGAGTGGGGGGTGAAGTTTACCGGATGACACACGACCTCGTCACAACCGTGGCCCGGCTGCGAAGATCAAACGTCGGAGCACTTCGACTCGCAGGCCGAGCACAATCGAATCCACCGTCACTTTTGTCGGAGACAAAACAAGAGCGGCACTTGGCGAGTGAGGCAGGGGGAGAAGGCAGGCCAACAGGCACCAGCACCGAGCCCAGATGCATCTTGAGGCTGCCTTCATCTGGCTTTGTAGGCCTCGTACGTTAGAGGAGCATCCTGCAGGCGCCTCGGACTTGCTCCACGAGTGCCGGGAATCAACACCAAGCCCGACGGTAATTAGGGAGCCAGAGACTCTGAGTTTAGCGACGTTAAAATTGAATGCAGCGTTCGCAGTCGAAGCCTCGTGTGCGCCGCCACTCTCGCCCCGTTTTGCCTCCGACAGAAATCACGGCCGGACCCCATTGGTCGATGTGAAACCGTAACCCGGAACCACAGGGAGAGCTCCGTCGGATCGCAACAGGTGACGCAGACGTGCAGAACACGTCACACAAGTGGCCCCCGCTGCACTTTTAAATCAACGTATTTATGCAGTCCCGATGCGTTTGGTTTTTTCAGTTTGCAAGCCGCATCAGTTTGCAAGCCGTAGGCTTTTCCTTGCATATGAACATTGGAAAATTCCATTCAGCACTTTGAAATATTTGCAGGGCAATGCCCCACCGCTTGGGTCGTGTGGCCAATTCGTGTCGTGGATTTCACTTTGTGTGCGTGTAGCCTGAGGAACGCCGCCCACGAGGGGAGAAAACCTCTCACTGCAGCAGCACAGACAGCCTGCTGCACGCCTACTTGCTGTACTGCCTACCACACAGGCAACGCCTTTTGCTGCCCCGCATGCAGCGTCTCATCACGATCATTGTCGCGAGGGCTCCAATCCCTGCGTGATCCACCAACCCCCCCCTCCGAGCGGCTGCTGTTGCCGGGTTAGAGTTATGCATCACCTTCATTTCCTCTCTGCTGATACGGAGATTGGAGATTTCTCCGATTTCAGAGCGAATTCGTGAGAGAGTTGCACGGTGACAGCAAGAGGCATTCATCGTGTAAAATTTCAAGTCCAGGCTTTGTCGACGATCGCACATTAAGTCACAGTCCACCAAAAACCGAGTTGATCAGAATCGCAGTGAACAAATGAAGGGGACGTTCTATATCAACCAGGGTGAGACCATGTCGAGAGATTCACCATCTCTGCACAAAGGGTGGTGGAAGGGGGGTCCGAGGCAGCGATTTCGCGACGCGACGACGACACCGCGGAGGGACGGCGCGCGCTAGAGCGCGTTCCCGCCGGCCGTCGTGGACTTCTCACGGTCGAGTCGAAGTGAATTTTTCACGGGAAAAATACCGCAGCTCGGAAGCCAGATCCCACTGTGAAAGCGGGGCGCGGAAGAGACCCGCATCGTCGCCCCTGCCGCCGCCGCCGCCGCCGCCGGTGTGTGCGGTGTCAAAAGCCGAATCACGCGAATCATTTCGGAGGAAAACTAAAAACCGGCTGCAGAAACCAAAGTAACCATTTGGGGCAGACGCAACGCACCAGCGGCCAGCTCTCATCTTGCAGGTGTGCGCGTGCCTAGGCAGTGTGTCCAAGGGCTGAGGCTCTGTCGATGACACAAGAAGAGAATTGCACGGTTAGTCGGCACTCTTTCAACAAAGCGGGATCAAGGAAGCGACGCAAGTGTTTGGTCGCCTCACCAGCCTGGCCTTCTCATTCAAGAAGCTTCACATGTGCGTCGGATGACCTCGGACGCAAAGCCGAGTTAGGTGTACGTGGAAGGGACGATACGTTTCCCTGTACGGTACTGTAAAAAACTTAGAAACTAAACTAATTTTATTCTAGCAGGTAAGGCCCACTGAGCTATGTAGCTTCTCAGAAGCGACCTGGCCACAATTGATAGTTAAATGAAGTGGATCATTGCGTGGAAATGTAGAGCAGCCAAAAACCTCTAAACGTATGATGTTGATTCTGAATGTGGAGGGAAAAACCTGAGGACCCGGAGAAAAATCCACGCGACGACGGGGAGAGAGAGAGACACGCAAACTCCAAACACACAGCAGGTGTCAGGGTCGGGATCGAAACCACGACCTCCTGTATACCAGGCGAGGTAGTCAACATCTCACCACCGTGGCATCCTGTTGCACAGAGTTTCCTTGCAAATGAGACCGTTGATATAGATCTATCAAGGAGCTGTCACCCAGAAAATATAATTAGCAATGAAATTAACTGAAATTAATGGTGGGCAAGACTCAACGCAAAGCGATTTTCTGCTGAAATGACGATGGAGGTGGTACGGATCTATTTACAGCCCTGTGGCAGTGGTGGGTATTCCACAATCTTAAGGCGGGGCCAAATCCATTTGTCAGAAAACCACGATTGACTTCCCACGAAAGTGGTACTATTTTATCAGCCCTCGTAGAGATGATGCACCGAGTCGATGCCAGACCAGGATATGAACTCGCAAACCTTCCAATTGCGAGCCATTCACTCATTGGCCGAGCCACTTGGCTCTCTACAGTGCCTGCTGACACACCTCCGATTAGCATCGTCGGATATGTACGGTGCAAAAGACTTTCAACATACCTAGCTACATCAACACACACGCAGAAAACAGCATTCTGCGCGAAACAGAAGATATCAAAAATCTCCTCGGGTCAACCAGGCAAGAACTCTGAGAGTCATGATGTCTTGTACGACAGAGAATGCCAATGGCAAACCATGCAAATTACCTCCTCCGTCATCAACATAGCCCTCTGCAGTGACAATAATAATTTAAACTTGTAAAGTGCCGCACAGTATTCGCTCACCCTCGAAGAGAGAAAACGAATCGCAGGCGCTAAGAGGAACCACAGCAGAGCACAACGACAGCAGCAGACAGGCAGTGGTGAACCCCGACGCGCGGCTGTGCCAATTTCAGTTCAATATTCTCATTTACAAAATTTCAGAATTGTGTCGGACAGCCCAGGGCGCAGGCCCTTGGTAACACGTACAGCCTTCGGTCAATGCACTGCTGGGCGAGGACCTCCACATGCTGTGTGGATCGTGGCGGATACTTGACCGTAGTCTTGCTAGTAAGCAAGGGGGGGGGGGGGGGTTACAAAACGAAGACCTACTTTGCTGCACTGCTGCCCTCTGCTGCCCGGCATGTTGCACGGCGAGCCCAGACAACCCGCTTCGTGCGTGTTGAGACTGTCCCTGCCAAGAACTATTGGCGCTCAACCTCGCATGGCTTCCGGCATCCGATGGGACTGGAAGCATGCCAAGTGGCTTGGCCACAAGCGCAGCCTTGACACGCGCACGTTCAAAACAACAGCCGCCCTGAGCCGGGCTGCATCTTCCTCTACAGACAACGGATCAAATGATCCCCACCTTGATCGCCCACGCCACACTCGTCACCGTTATTTGTACAGAATTCCCTCGTTAGTCGCAAACATGCCATCCACGATTGTGCCTATCAGCAAATCGCTTCGACTGCATTCAAAGAAAGTGATGAGAGAGAATGTGATGTGAGAAAGTAATCAGATTAAGTGATGATGGGGTAAGTTAATTAATAAATTATGATTCAATACTTCAATATTTATTTTATTTACTTCATATTTATAACAAACTTTTTTGTGTGATAATAATTTTGATCTATTTCATAGTTTATTTATTTCAGGTAACTCATTCACGAGCATCTCCAGAACGTATCCATCGCACGTAACGAGGGACTACTGTGGCCGTTAATTGCGCGCATGACTAAAACTGCCCACCCCTTGTTTTAATGCTCCCTTCCCTGCCCCCACGACACTACCGTGTTTTTGTACTGCTTGTTGTTGTCACGTTCTTACCCGCCCCTATTGGACATCTGTAAAAATAAATAGTTTTATAGCTCATCGGATTCCTCCAGGATAAATATCCTCATTCTGAATTCCTTGCATCCGAACCTACTTCCTCCCCCCCCCCCCCCCCCCCGTCGACCCCCAAACTCCCCACCCTCCCTCCGCCAACCCCTCCCCCTACTCTAGCGTACCCCCCCCCCCCCGCCGTGCCCCCCTCACATTGTCTCGGGCGAGGTGGAGAGGTACTCCTCAGCCCGCCGGTGCGCCTCCAGCGCCTTCATCGTGTACACGTCCTGGGGCAGCTCCGACTTGCGGCGCAGGAGAACCTTCTTCACCTCGGGCTTGGGCTGCTGCACGCACTGCGGTGGCGGTGGCGGTGGCGGCGAGAGAAGGGAGGAGGCACGCATGGGAGGAGCAACGTGTGAATTGCCGCGACGCTGCTCGAGGTGCTCTCAGTCGTCGGCGACGCCAGAAATAAAATCATCACCAACGTCGTCATCGCCGTGACGAGCGCGGCCGTCAGCGTTACATGCGTCGTTACGTTTCTGCGGTATTGCCAGCATCGTTGGTGTCACCATCAACCACGTCATACATAGAGTCATCAACACAATCATCATCAGCAGCAGCATGATTTTCACGTGCGTTACCTTACTACAGTATCAGCCAGCCACTGTTACCAGAAATGCCATAGCCATCGCCGCCATAAGCATCAATTTACTTTCCAACAGTGCTTCGATTGTCGGCATGCGCACGTGTGGGTTCACGTGTATAAACATCACCGCTACACATGCGTACACGTGGAGCCTTTGAGCTAATGGTCTGCAAGCACTCGGCACACGGACAGCAGATGAGGACAACTGCTTCAGCGAGTTTGTAAATCCACTTCAAAGGCTCTCATCGTGGCCAAATTCTTAACATCCACGGAGCAAGAACTCACACCGCCATCATCGTTAAGCATTTTATCTGTCGACTTGCAATCTGAACATTCAGGCTGCCCTGCCTGTGCTCAATCCTGCATTGTGTAAGCAGCTCACAGATCCTGTGGCAGGCAAGTTGCCTTGATTGTGACACATAGCCTACATGCCCGACCACCGCATGCCCAGGCAGCTTTTATTTTCCAATAACAACGCTTTCACGTGGCCTCACAGTGCACCTCGCCTGCCACAAGTGCTCCAGTGACTTTACTGTCACTCAGTGGTGAAGATTGGTGGTTGTTGTTGTGTGCATGTACAATCTTCTGGGAGGCAGTAGTGTAGTGGTTGTACCACACTGTGCTACGGACCCGACTACTTAAGATGAATGCTCACAGGCAACATCAATGATGAATATCTAAATCGGTTCTGGGCCTCCCCGAAGATGACTCGTAATCAAACGAGTACCTAGTGCAGGTTGTAAACTTCGGCACTGTGTGGTGCCAGCCACCCCATTCCCTTGTGCACCGTCCCTGGCCCCAACAGACTGAGGGCTAAATGGGGGATCTGTCGAACTTGTGCGTGCGTGCGAATTAGTGCATGCGAGTCTGTCCGCACCTGCATGGCCTCCGTCTCCATCGACTTCTTGAGCTGGATGATGTCCTCGGCGGAGGGCGTGTCCGTCTCCATGGAGACCACGGCGCCGTTCAGGTCCTGCTGCAGGCGCGTCTGGTACTGAACGAGCGGTCGCCGCGGCAACGAGAGGAATAGGGTGGGAGAGTTCGTCAGCGAGCGAAGAGAGTTTTAATCGTAGCAAGATTAGAGGTGGTCGGGCGGCTCAAGCGGCTAACGCTGCATCCGAGCAGATGCTGGGTTCCACCCGGGGAAGGCGCCCGCGGCTAAATCGTGTTCTCAGGTCCAGAGGAGTTGGTGGTCTCAGCCCGGTCACCAATTAACCACCGCATTCCACTTGGTCTTTAAAATGTTGTTTGGTTTGATCTTCTTGCAGTCGGATATCTTTGTGGGGGGCAAGCAAAAGTGAGGCACCAACCGGGGTGAATGAGAAGTCAACTGAAGTGACGTCAGTCGCAGTTCTGCGATGTCGTTTGCTGGGGGCTGTCCCCGACACGGTGTGAGGTCACGCCGCTGGCTACGAGAGTTTAACGTGGAAATGCCTTCGTCTTGCGACGCGATGCCAAGAGCACGAATGGAATGTTGGAACAAAGTTGGCGGGTTACCTTTGTAGCTGGAGTGGGACCTTTGCATCTAGCATGCCACCTGCCTAGTTAATGTGTTTCTAGTGTAAGCCTTGCTTTAATCCTCCCTCCCGTGCCTGATCTCCATATATATAAAAGGCCTGTTCAAAATGTTTAGCGTACTTCCTGATATGCAACAAACTTGAAATTTGCCATGTGGGTACTTTCCAGACTGTACACCATGCAAAAATTATTAAAATACACTTTAGTTTTTTTTGGGGGGGGTGGAGGAGCTCAATAATGCATATATTTTTTGCACGGCAAGTGAGCTGTGACGTCACATCTGTCACGTGACCCGCGCATGTGGAAGCGTAACGCATTGTAGTGTCGTGGTTAGCGCGCCGCGCTACGAACACGGCGACCCGAGTTCGATTCCCGCTCACGGCCACCACCGGTGACGATTATTTCAACCGGTCCTGGGCCTCCCCTAGGTCGACTCAGCCTCAAACGAGTAACTTTTGTGGTGTGTGAACATCGCCACTGGGGACACAAAGGCGGACGGGCGTGGTGGATCCAAGTCCCGGGCGAAGCCGGGTAGTACAGCTTGTGTCATAAACGTAGCTCGGCTAGCATGTTACACATGCCACTAACACAAATACTCATTTCAATTTGTAACAGGTCGTAGAGTATTTGCTCACTCTTAAAGACAGAACGACTCAGAGGAACGGGGAAGAACTGGACAAATGGGAAGGGCAGCCAGCCAGTGAGCTAGTACAAACAACTGCTCAAGCTCTGCAGTCCTCTAGATATTAAGATGTTTTTTCCCCGGGAATGTGCAAGGGAATCGGGGTACCCTGAAAGAATAGGCTCGTGTGTGGGGGAGACACCGTCCCAAACAGACGGAACAGCCCACATATTGCTGGACCGCCTTCAGCGCCGACCACCACTGCCCGGCGAGTGTGTTCGACCTCACCTGTGGGTTTGTCTTTGCCAGAGACTCAATCTTTGTCCACGCCTCATCGCGGTCTTTTAACTTTAGCTTTTCCCTGTGAAAAGACGACGGCTGAAACCACACATCTCACACACACACACGCGAAGCTGCACACAAACCCCACCTGGCGCCACGGACATTACTCAACCAGGTGACGGCAGCAATATGAGATTCGTCATCGCTGCGAGACACACGCACCAACGCTTAGGGATATCACAAGCTGGAGCGACAAATGCTGATCATCAGTTAACATCTCCCTGATAAAGCGAGCAATGCGGTGGCACTCATCTCTGAAGGAGGCCCCGAGGTAGGGCTGCAAATTTCACATTATCATGGTGGGGCACAGTCTCCGTGAAGGACGATCCCTGGTGATTTCCCCACTTGGTTGTGCTCGTTTCATCGATCCCGAAGCGATGTGCCGAGTGTCAGTCCCTTGACGAGGATTTGACCTCGCAACCTTCCGATTATGGAATTATTTAGATTATGCTGCTGCTGCGGTGGTAGCGGTGCACAAGCACAAATAACAAAAAAAAAAATCTGAACATTTGTCAATAACACTGTGGCCTTAAAATGAAAAAAAAAAATTTATGACAATTTGGGCAACAGTCCCACTTCATAGCACATGTTGTGCTGTGAAGGGCCACTACCCTATATAGTCACTGATTAGAAATATTTCCTTATCAGGCCACGGTGTTTTATTGGCGAATGTGTTGTGGAGTTGTTTGTTGATGCAGCATGCGTAGCACCGAGTCGTCGCGACTCGCACACACGAGTGGACGCACACACACACAGGAGTTGCTTACTGCTGCCTCTCTGCCTTGTATTGCTGTGTACAGTCGTCAAAAAGCTTCTGGTTCATCTCCATGAAGAGCTTCAGTGCGTTATAGATGAGCCCGTGAATGGTCCTGCAGCGCAGGGAGCATAGGTCACACAACAATTTGAGTGAGTGGGAGGGTAACGGTGCGTGTGCGGGTAAAGTGGGTGAGCGAGTGACTGGGTGGAAGACCGAGTGGGTGGAGGGGTAAATGGGCGAGTGTCAACGAGGTTAGTGGCCGAGTGTACGAGCGAGTGGGTGGTGGGTGTGCATGCAGTAGGTGGGCAAGCGAGTTGCAGAGTCAGCGGGAAAATGCGTGCATGGTTGGGTAAGGGAGTGAGTGAATGGGTGAGTGAATAAGTAGGTGAGTGTGTTGTTGGATGAGTGAGCAAGCGGGTTGCTGGGAGGTGGACGAGTGCTGTAATCAGTATGAGTGCACGATTCATACTGCCAATTGATTCGTTGGGAGGTAGAGACGCTAGGAGCGTGTTCCATTCACAGCATTTGTTCATTTGCATTACCTACAATTCACCGAGGATTACTTTCATCTTAAACGTGTAAGTTGTAGAAATTAAATTAATAACTTACTGAGCAAGGCATCTCATTAACACCCGTATATAAATTAGCATTTAATACCATTTATACTCCCTTAGAGTGGTCTCAACGAGACAGGGTCTCATCAGCGCAGTGCAGTCCCTTGAACCAATGCTATAGGGCAGCTTAAGCTGTTGCTGACAGCCTTGAACCATGGGGGGCCACCAAAAAGTAGCGTTTATCAGAGTAGGGGTTGTTGTTAACAAAATAATAAGCGATGAGGGCAAACAGATAAATTATCTTAAAAGTGAAATAAAGGCCAGGATGCGCTCATCTGATTTACGGTCTTAAGCCAGTGGTGGAATTTCCACGTTCCTATAACAGGTCCATATTCTTACAACAACCACTCAGGACTTTCAACAGAGGTGAGCCCATGTTATTGACCCGATGGGAACGATAGGCGAAGTCAGGGGTGGCAACCTGTGGCTCCGGAGCCGCATGCGGCCTCTCAAGCGCCGCTTCGTGACCATTACTTATTAAGAACCCAGTGTGGCTCTTGAGCTTTTTTTACCGAATTTGAAAAAAAATTGCTCTTCTTGTTATTTTGGTTGCTGATCCCCTGGGTTAAGTCAACCCCCCCCAAGCCAGATTGGAACTTGTGAATCGGGGGCTCCGAGAATACGAGCGCGTGGACACCCCCCCCTCCCCCCCCGCATGGGTGGTGACGGTGGCGGCAGCGGTGGCGGACTCTGCCTCACTTGTTCCAGTGGCTCTTGGAGTTGCGGTAAAGCGACGGGAACATGACGGGCAGGATCTTGGCGGCGTTGTCGCTCACGAGGCTCATGATGTACTCGTTGTTCCAGTAGTAGAGAGCGCGCTCCGCCACCTGCGACAGCCCAGCACCACACTCGGCGGCTCATTCAGTTTCTCCACGAAGAACACTTCCCAATATTTTAGATTAAACTATAAACTATTTTTTTTATTTTACCAGGTAAGGCCCACTGAGCTATATAGCCCTATTTCAGAAGCGACCTGGCTATCACAAATGAAAGCCCAACGAAGTGGCTTATCTTCTTGGTTCTTTCGGTAAAGTCACGTAGAAGGGAAGTAATAAAATAATAAAAATATAACATAATAAAACAATTCTCACGACGTTTCGGCCACAACGCAAGCAGCCGTCCTCAGGTGAAAACCAGGTCCGTCGAGGCGACAGAGTCTGAATGAAACAGCACACGGGCTTGGAGCATATATATAAGCTGGGCGCATTGACAAAGGAATTTGCATATCAACAGGAATTTAGCATATTTATGGGAAATGCAGGAATGTGATTAGTACTGCATATGCATGTGCATTATGCAGGATTAACAGCATCAAAGGGAGCTGCAGTTACTGCTGCTGCAGCAGTTGCTGCTGCTGCTGCAGTTTCTGCTGCTGCTGTAGTTGCTGCTGCTGCTGCAGTTGCTGCTGCACTTGCTGCTGCTGCTGCACTTGCTGCTGCTGCTGCACTTGCTGCTGCTGCTGCACTTGCTGCTGCTGCTGCAGTTGCTGCCTTATCCATTTTAATATAACACTATGTATTATTCTACCCACCCTAATGTGTATCATACTGCTATATGTTTACTGTACAATTACGACACCATACATTACTCTGCACACTGCACCATGCCAGTGAGTGGAACGCGGTCTGAAAGTCACCGTTAACGTGAACACAATCAGTTAAGATCCGAAATGGTTTATTACGTCCTTCCAATGATTGCTAAGCCAGAATCCATCTTCTCGGTTGAAATTGTCTCTGTGTTTGTATATGTGGATCGCCTCATGAACGAATCTCTCATGATAGCCAGATGGCTTGCAGAGAACCTCTGTCTTGGAGAAGTCAATGTCATGTGAGCCCACTGAATTGTAACAGTGATCACTGGCTTAGCAATCATTGGAAGGACGTAATAAACCATTTCGGATCTTAACTGATTGTGTTCACGTTAACGGTGACTTTCAGACCGCGTTCCACTCACTGGCATGGTGCAGTGTGCAGAGTAATGTATGGTGTCGTAATTGTACAGTAAACATATAGCAGTATGATACACATTAGGGTGGGTAGAATAATACATAGTGTTATATTAAAATGGATAAGGCAGCAACTGCAGCAGCAGCAGCAAGTGCAGCAGCAGCAGCAAGTGCAGCAGCAGCAGCAAGTGCAGCAGCAGCAGCAACTGCAGCAGCAACTGCAGCAGCAGCAACTACAGCAGCAGCAGAAACTGCAGCAGCAGCAGCAACTGCTGCAGCAGCAGTAACTGCAGCTCCCTTTGATGCTGTTAATCCTGCATAATGCACATGCATATGCAGTACTAATCACATTCCTGCATTTCCCATAAATATGCTAAATTCCTGTTGATATGCAAATTCCTTTGTCAATGCGCCCAGCTTATATATATGCTCCAAGCCCGTGTGCTGTTTCATTCAGACTCTGTCGCCTCGACGGACCTGGTTTTCACCTGAGGACGGCTGCTTGCGTTGTGGCCGAAACGTCGTGAGAATTGTTTTATTATGTTTTATTTGTATTATTTTATTACTTCCCTTCTACGTGACTTTACCGAAAGAACCAAGAAGATGAATCCCTGCAGTCACGAAAGCTTTAAATAGAAGTGGCTTATCACGTGGGAATGTATAGCAGCCAAATACTCTCAACATATGTTTCTAAATGTAGAGGGAAAAATCCACACCACCATGGGGAGAACACGCAAACTCCAAATATACAGGCGGCAGGGTCAGGATTGAAACTACAACCTCCTACATACCAGGCCATCATGGTGCCCCAACGAAAAATATTTCAAACCCGCATCGCCTGCACGTGTCCCTGTGCCACGCTACCAGGCACGAAGACAGAGACCTACCCACACACCCCCCGTACCGCCAACAACAGTCGCCTCACTCCACTAAACGGTGGTGACGTCACCACAGCGCCTGTGCCAAGCCGAGTATACTTTTGCGGCCATCACGTGGAGTGTAACAAGGCTCGCTGGTGGGTGACAAAACAGACCCAGGTGGAATGGGTTGACCGAGATGACTGGAAGATTCACATGCACACAAATGAAGCAAACATCCCCCACCATATACAGCTTCTTTTTTAGACTGTTGAGGCAAGTGATGTTCGTGACCTCCTATAAAAGGCTGGCACAGCACACGAGGAGGTTGGTGGCCAACACCACGTCTGGCAACCTTCGTCTCCCAAGTGAAGTTGACACACCACACCGGGTACTAGTTTAAAGGGCGAGTCGATGTTGTCCATGAACGGACATCGAATTTGGGTCGTTAGATTCGTAGAGCAGTGCGCTAACCACTGTGCCACTTACAAATACTCACACACAGACATACAGATTACACACGCGTCCACCCGCACACACCCATGCATACACAGACACTCACAAAAATCGCCATTCGCTACTAAGTGGCGGTCACATCACCATGGCGCTTGTACCAGGTCTGTGCGTACTTTAAGGCCACGTGAGGTGTCAAAGGCCCGCTGGCAGGAGGTCACGGGACAAACCGAGGCGATATGGGTTGAATGACTGAGATGACTGGCAGATGCACCACCGGTGCCCCCTACTGTGCCAACCTGCTGTGTTTTAGAAACCTGGCGCTCCGCTCGTTGTGAGCGTCGCTCTTCAGCCCTCCGCTGATGTTGGAGGGAGACTGCCTCCAACGGCCCAGTAAAGTTCTTCACGAGCCTCCTCCACAGAGGCCGATCTTAACACGGCTGGTACCAGTCATCGATCAACAAGTCCACACACCCACGCACACCCACGCTTGCACACGCACACCCACGCTTGCACACGCACACCCACGCATGCACACGCACACACGCCCATGTATGCACGCACACCCACACACACGCCCATAGGCCGCTCACCTGGAAGTGGGGGCTGGACACGCACTTGGCGAGCTGCCTGAAGAGCGGCTCCATGACCTTGACGAACTCGGCCGGCTCGATGACGTCGAGAATCTCCTCGAGCTCGTTAAGAAACATCACCTCCTTGGGGCTGTGGGTCTTGGGCCAGAACTTCATGAGCGCCATCACCACCTCGCAGACGCACGCGCGCACACGCACACGCAATCGCGCGGTCACGCACACGGCGAGCACACACGACTAGCGAGAGGACGGGAGAGAGTGACGGAGAGAGAAGGGGAGATACGGGAAAGGAGAAGGGATATTACAAATGGGTGAGTGGAGAGTTCGGAAGTCAGAGGTGGAGAGAAACAGAGAGGGTAGAATTCGGGAGAGGTAGACAAAAATGAAGAGAGGGAGAGGCAGGAGCAGAGAGACAGAAAGGGGTGGGGAGGCAGAAAAATCTGAGAGATGCAGATAGAGAATGACAGACCCAGAAAATGACAGACCCAGAGATGGGAGGACAGAGAGAAAAAAGGGGCGGAGGAGAGACTGAGAAACCTGAGATTTACGGACCATAACAACCTTACGGTGAACAGTGACCCTACCGTTGCCACGACTCTGAACGCTCTCGTCTCCCTGAAGACTTCCTCCCACCTGCCCTCCCCCCTCCACGAGCGGGACATCACTGGTTGAAGTCGAGAAGTAATGGAAGAAATCTGGTATGGAAATTAACTACCTAGTGTGGAAGGCTCAGGCTCATCAGCATGGCTTTGTGAAAATGTATATTGCTGCCCTAATTGCTGATGTTGCTGTAAACCTCAAATCTCTGTCTAGCACTGCTAAGTTCCCTCCTGTGTCCAAAGATCCCAGTAGGGCTCCCGTCAAATCCTCTCCTATCCCTACGAAAAGTGGAAACATGTAGGAATGCTGCTCATTGTTCCACCATTCACCCCCTCCACCTACCCTCGATATCTCCCAGCCAGTCGCCACGAATAACATCGCACCCACCGTCTCTCTCATCTACAATTCGTTTTCCCGTGACGCTCCGCTCGTCAAGCACATCCCTCGCAGAGCACCCACGCCTAACACGCACATCACCAGGAGTCGTCTATGTCTCCCTCGACTTCAGTAACGTTCCCCAGGCCCTCAAGCCTGCTGCCGCTGCTGCCGCTGCTGCTGCTGTCACTCCCACGTGGAGAGATGGGGAGAGAGAGGCGCATTCCTATGTCAGCACTCCATTGGTCTCCCTGAAGCAGTACGATCTGGTTTCTAGAATGGTCCCTCCACGTGATGATGATAAAAAATATGATGTTGAAAATTAAGATGTCACCTTAATTGTGATGGTGATGATGATGTACTCACTGGTTCTGTGAGGGTACTGTCTTTCTCCAGGAACTGCACGACACAGTACGCCAGCTGGAGGAACAGCACAAAGAAGCCGGGTCGTTAAGCCACGCAGCTTTAATCCGCACTCCCATTTAACGCAAACAGCTTGAGACAAACGTTCCACCTTGGCCATGCATGTTACAGCGATGTCCCAGATCGTGACTTCTCCAGCCCCTTTATTACACCCACCAAAGCAACTTCCCCTTGCCATGGTGACCTCACGCTTTCACATATGACCCCCAGTATATGCAGTGCATGTGAAGGGGTGCCACGGTGGTGAGATGTTAACTGTCTTGCCTGGGATATCGGAGGATGTGGGTTCGATCCCGACCCTGATACCTGCTGTATATTTGGAGTTTGCATGTTCTCTCCATGGTGGCATAGATTTTTCTCTGGGTCCTCCGTTTTTCCCCTCCACATCTAGAAGCATGCGCTTCGAGTATTTGGCTGCGATACATTTCCACATGATAAGCCACTTCGTTGAGCTACTGTTTGTATGGCCAGGTCGTGTCTCAACAAGAGCTACATAGCCAAGTGGGCCTTACCTAGTAAAATATAGTTTAGTCTTATAGTTTATACTAGAATAGAGTCGCTGTGTATGCCGCAGTTGCAGCTGTATTCCCATGCCTGCACGTGTCAAGGCTCGTAACTGCGTTGTTGTTGTGTGTGTTAAAACATCCGTTTGCCTCTGAAGTACCGGTGAGGACGCTTGACGCCGAGGTTGAGGCACACGTATATTTATTTCACAATACGACAGTGGGCATATACACACTCGAGGGGGTATCGGCCCCCTCACCCGTATAACTCGGGATACACCCCTAGCTAACTCTGTCCTAGCCCCGAATCCTCCACTAATGGGCTAGGGGAGGCTAACTGGCCCGACACTGGTAAGTCGGGCCCGGTACCCGGAGTTCCAGACCAGCTCTTACAAGAGCACCGGCTCTGGCTTTCGGGACCACGCCGCTGGCTCAGTCCTGTCCGGCCCTGAAAAGGACATCGAACCAGGGGAGTCCAGGGCTCTATCTAAGACGTCTTCAGTCTTGTTCCTTTAGCTTAAACATAACTGACTCGAGCCCTTTGAACATCCCCTTTTATACCCAACCCCTCCCTGAGGGGTGGGGCCCCGGGGGATCATAACGTTCGAACCAGCCCCCCCCAGGGTGTCTGGCTCGGACGTCGTAGAGGGCACCTCCTCGTGCACTTACGTAGCCCCAGCCCACTGTGTTTGTTTTCCATAGGCTGCCATGCATAACGGGCCCTCTCTTTAACACCCCTACATCACCCCCTCCCGCATAGCTTGCAGCCGTCCCGGCTGCCAACATACAGAAATGACAATAAAAGTGCATTTACACCTTGACCGTGCGTGTGCCTCACTATTTTTCAACAATAACAAGAACAGCAACAAGAACACAACAAAATGCAACAGCAAGAAGAGAAAACAACCCGACGCACCCCCCCTTGAATAAATACGAATTCCGTAAAAAAAACAACCTATATACAATTTGCAGGGAACCCAGCATACACACAACACCAGGTGAACCCAACGTATGTACATTTCAATGGGCAGGGAACACACCACCCACACAACACACGATGAACACAAGCTATGTACACATCTTCCGGCCTCATAACAGTCTGCGCATTTTTGCGCGCGTCCTTGCAGCGGGCCCCTCACACGGGGTAACCCCGGGTGGCGGACCGTCAGGTGGCAATTGTCCGTCCCGGAGTGAGTCCTCATCCGATGCCGCGCGACCGTCGGTATCCCCAGGAGGGGTGGTCGGGCGTGAGCCCGTCAGTCCTGATGCATCTGGAGGTGGCACGGCCGGCAAGGCATTAGGTGAGAACGACGGAGACGGACCCAATGAGACGGTCGACCCCCCACACGTTTGGCCACGCATGTGTGAAGTGGGTTTGTGTACCGCAACGAAGGGTTTTAACCTAGAGGGGTGCACGAACCATCGCCGCTTCCCCCATTTAATGCGCACGCACTGTGGTCGCAAAACTTCGACCACCTCCACAGGGCCCCGCCACGGCCGCGCCAGCTTAGAGGAGGTAGCCAGGGGCACTTGGGGACAGTGCAACCATGCCTTGTCCCCCGGCTTCCACTGTATCATGTGCGCCCGACCCAGCCTGAGGCGCTCATTCGCCTTTTGACGGAGGTCCGAGTTTAGCATTGCAGCATCCCGCGCCTCTGTTAATTTGGCCAGATTAAATTTGACGTGGTCAGCCAATTTAGTTTTCCCTTGCGGCTCGGGGATCTGCAGCTGGGCACGAACAGGCGGGTCGGGTTCGCGACCGTACATGAGGTAAAAGGGGGAAAATCCCGTAGCTGCATGGGGTGCCATCCGGTATGCCGCCAAGACCCCTTGAATATGCAGGTCCCAGTCGGTCTGTGAGTCCGAGACCTGCTGTGACATCATTGACGTAATGGTGCGATGCAGGCGCTCGACCATCCCGTCAGTTTGCGGGTGATACGGGGAGGTACGTATTTTCTTCGTGCCTAGGAGGTCACAGACTTGTTTGAGTAATTTACCGGGAAAATTTCTGCCCTGGTCGGTCAGCAGCCGCTCCGGAGCACCTTTGTCCAGGACGTATCCCTGAACAAAGGCCTCCACGATGGCTGCTGCCGACTGGTTGGCAAGGGGCCAGGCCATAGGCCAGCGTGTAAAATACTCGACACCAGTCAACAAATACCTATTGCCCCTGGGGGTGGCGGGAAATGGGCCCAAAATGTCCAGCGCGACAAGCTCATTTATTCTGGACACTTTGATCGATTGCAAGGGCGGGTTAGACTCCCGCGCCGGCGGTTTCCGTTGCGCACACCGAGGGCATGATCCCAATAGATCCCCAACATCCCTCGTCATGCCAGGCCAAAAAAAATCAAGTTGTAGCAGTGCAAGAGTCTTTTGGGTCCCCAGGTGTAATAGGCGCTCATGCGCGGCCCACACCACCTTGCCTCGCAACTCAGAAGGGACCACCAGCCGATGTCGCTGGGATTTGCCGTCCCAATGCATCAGCAGACCTTGCACCATTTCCCATGCATCCGAATCACCCTTCACCCGCCCAGCACCCCCGACGCGACGACGCCACCCGAGGAGGGAGGTATCCTCCATTTGGAGGCGCCCCCATTCAGTGACGGGCAACCCCAACAGGGAATCTCTTCCCTGTTGTTCGATCGAATTAGTAATTAATGTTTCGTCGTCGTCGGTGGCTGCCAAGACCGGAACCGATGCGTCCCCTGAAGGCCTGCAACGTCCCGACCCCAGGAGGCATGCACATTCGGGGGTGGTTGGCATGCGCGACAGAGCGTCCGCATTCGTATGGCGAACGCCCTTACGGTAGGTGGTTTCAAAATCAAAGTCCTGGAGAACCTCCAACCATCGAGACAACTGTCCCGATGGTTGTTGAACTCGCAGGGCATACTGTAGTGCCGCATGATCTGTGCGGACGGTGAAATGCCGACCGTACAGATATGGGCGATACTGTTGGATGAAATAGACAATTGCCAACAGTTCCCTACGGGTGACACAATATCTTTGCTCCGCAGGAGACAACACCCGACTACCGTACGCGACCACCCGTTCCACGCCATCAACCACCTGGGAAAGCACACCTCCAATACCCGTGTTGCTCGCATCGGTGTCGAGCAAAAAGGGCTTAGAAAAATCGGGGTAAACCAAGGGAGGGGCTTTTACCAGGGCGTCCCGAAGGGAGCAGAAAGCAACCTCCTCCTCTTGACCCCAGTGGAACCGAACCCCTTTAGATGTTAAAGCGTGCAGGGGTTTGGCAATTGTCGCAAAATCAGCGACGAACCGTCGGTAATACGACGCGAACCCAATGAAACTCCTGACCTCTCCCACCGAGGTGGGAGTCGGCCAGGAGCTGACACACTGCGTTTTGGCGGGATCGGTAGCAATACCTGAGCGTCCCACGATGTGCCCCAAATAACGCACCGAATCGCGCAACAAATGGCATTTTTGGGGTTTGAATTTCAAATTAGCAGCCCGCATCTTTAGGAAAACCGCCCGCAACCTCTGGAGATGTTCATCAAAAGTTTTACCAAAGACGATAACGTCATCCAAATAAATGAGGCACGACTCCCATTGCAATCCAGCCAAAACCAATTCCATCAAACGCTGGAAAGTTGCCGGCGCTGAGTGTAAGCCCATCGGCAACCGGTTGAATTGGAACAGGCCGTGCGGTGTACGGAAAGCAGTTTTAGGCTTTGAATCATCGTCCAGAGGAAGCTGCCAGAATCCCGAAAGTAAATCGAGTGTGGAAAAGAATCGCGCTCCCGCCAAGGCGTCCAGCGATTCATCCATCCGAGGGAGCGGGTATGCGTCGGCAACCGAAATTTTGTTAAGGCGCCGAAAATCAACGCAAAACCGCAACGATCCGTCCTGCTTTTTAACCAGGACAATCGGCGCTCCCCAAGGGCTGGTGGAAGGAGAAATGATGTCGGCGGCCAACATGTCATCAATAGCCGATTTGACATGGTCCTTTTCGGCGGGACTCAACCGAAACGGATTTTGGCGAATTGGCGCGCTGTCACCCGTGTCAATATGGTGACGCAGCAGGTGAGTACAACCCAAATCGTATTTATTCCGACTAAAAACGTCGGAAAATTCCCGCAGTAGTGTTTTAAGTTGTTGACGCTCTGAATCTGACAGGTCCGTCGATCCCGCACAAAGCGCCTCGAGCCACCCTTCATCGCTGTCCGAATGCGGTCGCGGCGCAGGGACAACGCTGACGTGATTTGCGACGGGTTCCTCACATGGCACCGGCGTTGCGTGAGCAAGCACGGTCCCCTGTGGGACCACCACCGTCTGCGAGCCCACATTGAGGACCGCGATGAAGGGTTCACCGTCCCCTCTTACTATGGTCTGGGCCGGAAGTAAATGAGGTCCACTAACCCCGGCCCTAGACGGCCCCAGCAGAACCCCTTGGGCCCCAATACCCTTAGCGAAGGGCCGCCGAAGTTTCAAAGGAATCAACATTTGCGCCCCCGGAGGGACGCGCACCGTTCTCTCTACGAATGCCGGCACCGTCGCGAACGCCGTCCGAGTCGTAACTGGCGATGGCAGAAACGCCATGCGTCTGCCCGACGGGAGCTCAATACATCCCTAGTCGATTAATATCCTAATCGGCATTTTGGCCAGGAAGTCCGTCCCCAGCAGGCACGGAACCGCCAGCGAGGAGGAAACAAAAATCGGCCCAGACAATTTAATTTCCCCAATACAAATTTGGGCACGAATTTGTCCGATGATGCCAAGTGAGCCCCCGTTAGCCGCATAGAATGGTACGTTAACAGGCATCAAAGGACGGCTCCGGACAGGGAGAATATTGTAAATTAACTCCGAAATAATGGTCGCCGATGCTCCCGTATCGACCAGGATGCGCACTTCAACCCCGTCGATGTGCCCCACAACGGCCGACGACCCCGACGATGCGGCTACCACACGATCGGCCAGCACGGACCACTGGCCGGGTTCGATATGAGTACCCGGAGTGGTGCGTGATGGTGCGATGGTGCGCGATATCGGCCCCCCTCTCGTTGCGGTGTTTGAGTGCGTGACGGGCGTGTGTGTGGGCCAAACGTGTGGGGTGCCGCGACTCGCCGGGTTATGATGGTGGAGCTTGTGATGAGGCCCGTCGTCCCGTTGAGGTGTCGTCCCGCGCTGACGAGGAGAGCGGCACCCCGAGGCGACGTGGCCCCGGACGCCGCAGTTAAAACACCGCGGGAGCGCCGTCGGAGGTGACGGATGGTCGGAACGGCCCGACCCGTCCCGGCCCGACCGTGCTCCCGTCGCCTGTTGCCGTCGGTGGTCGACGGCGTAGAGCTCCTCCGTCGGAAGGGTGGCTGCAGCCACCGCACGCCCCGCCGATGCCCTGCTGGCTTTTCGCCGGAGCGACAGGAGGTTGGCGTGGAGGAGCCTTGCCGCCTGGAGCGATGTCATCTCCGCGTCCTCCTGCGCGACCACAGCGATGTCAAGGTCGTCTGCCAGGAGGAGGATTTTCTCCGTGACCATAGCGTCCACGCCGTCGTCGTCCATACGAGGGAAGGCCGACTTAGCCATCGCCAGGAGGCTCGTCCGGTATGCTAGGGGCGACTCCTTCTCACCCCACTTGCGGTCGTAAAATTGCTGTCGGCATTCAGCCGATGGTCCATAGACCCCGCCCAGCAGCTGTAGTGCCATCGGTAACGTAGACCGCTTCTTTCTCGGCGCCGATGTGAGGGCGGCGAGCGCGTCGCCGTCGAGGAGCGCCGGCAGCGCGCAGAGAGCCTCCTCATCGGACCATTTCGCCATCTCCTGATGGGCGAGGAAACGTCGGCGAAAACCTGCCCAGTCTCCCTCCGCACCGATGAACTCCTTCAGCGGGGGCAGTCTCTGATGAAGCGCAGCGGTTGTTGTAGACTCCCGCAGGCTGATGTCACCACCACTCGGCTGTGCGTCGGTGCGAACGGCTGATGGGATCGCCTGTCGCGGTTGTGATGACGCACCCTCCGGCGGTGATGACGCTGCAGCTTCAGCGACGGCGATGTCGGAGCGGATGTCCAGGCTGGCCACGCCCTGAACAGCTGTAGCGTCGATGGCGGGAGTTTCAAATTCGGACTGCTCCGAAATGGCGGGAAGGCGCCCTGGTCGTTGGCTCGCCTCGCCCCGTGTTGGATCACCGGCCCCTAATCGCGTGATGGTCTCCAGCGTGGCGGCAGCAGCATACAGCAGCTCCGCCAGCCTCCCGTGAGCCAGCCGTAACGCGTCTGGCTGCGGCCCCTCTTCATTTCGATGCCCCGGTAAGGAGGCGTCAGGCCCCGGCTGCACCATGTCTTGTGGAGCCGTCTCGGGCTCGACGATCTCGGCAGTGTCTTCCTCCTGCGGTACTTTGGCCCGCGCTGTTTTCCGCGTGTCCATGTTCGAATTACTTCTGACACCAGTTGAAGTACCGGTGAGGACGCTTGACGCCGAGGTTGAGGCACACGTATATTTATTTCACAATACGACAGTGGGCATATACACACTCGAGGGGGTATCGGCCCCCTCACCCGTATAACTCGGGATACACCCCTAGCTAACTCTGTCCTAGCCCCGAATCCTCCACTAATGGGCTAGGGGAGGCTAACTGGCCCGACACTGGTAAGTCGGGCCCGGTACCCGGAGTTCCAGACCAGCTCTTACAAGAGCACCGGCTCTGGCTTTCGGGACCACGCCGCTGGCTCAGTCCTGTCCGGCCCTGAAAAGGACATCGAACCAGGGGAGTCCAGGGCTCTATCTAAGACGTCTTCAGTCTTGTTCCTTTAGCTTAAACATAACTGACTCGAGCCCTTTGAACATCCCCTTTTATACCCAACCCCTCCCTGAGGGGTGGGGCCCCGGGGGATCATAACGTTCGAACCAGCCCCCCCCAGGGTGTCTGGCTCGGACGTCGTAGAGGGCACCTCCTCGTGCACTTACGTAGCCCCGCCCACTGTGTTTGTTTTCCATAGGCTGCCATGCATAACGGGCCCTCTCTTTAACACCCCTACACCTCTGTGGAAAACATTGGGGTTTTTGGATCACACAGATTGTTGGTGGGGGGGGGGGGGGTGAAGATAATCAGAGGGTGACGAATGCAGAGCTGGAGGCGATGCTCGCTCACCCGGGAGAGACTGCAGCTGAGAAATGTTCACCTCGGGGGTGACAAAACAATGATCCCCCGTATAGCCTTAACATCCTGTTGGGGTAAGTGCTGTTATGAAGGCTGGCACGGCACACGAGGAGGTGGGTGGCCAGGGCCACGCCCACCCACTTTGTCCCCCCAGTGGCGATGCTTCCATATTGCACAAAGTACTCATTTGAGGCTGAGTCGACCTCGGAGAGGCCCAGGACCGGTTCAGATATTCGTCACTGGTGTTGGCCACGAGTGGGAATCGAACTCGGGTTGCCGGGTACGTAGTGCAGCGCGTTAACCGCTGCACTACCGCTGCACTACCGCTGCACTACCACTGCACTACCACGCACACACACGGAGGAAGACGGTCGTCGCTCACCTGGGGGTGATAGACGCTCAGGGACTTCACCTTGTGCAGGGGCAGCAGCACCTTGAGCAGGAACACCTTGTGCTCCTCCTTGAGCGGCAGCGCAAAGCCGTTGATGATGCTGCTCACACACAAGACATAACGGGTGACGAGCGCCACTTGTTACCTTTGTCAACTGAATAAACTTTGGTTCAAGCCTCACGTACTGTCGGATATATTGAATGAAAATAATGTAATTTACGATTGTGAAAGAAAGTGGCAAATGTATGATATTGGGTGTAGGGTGGGGGGGCTGTAAAGGCCCATTGAGCTATAGAGCTCATTTACAGAAGCGACCTGGCCACAAATGATAGCTCAACAAAGTTGCATATCGTGTGGAAATGTATAGCAGCCAAAGCCTCTAAACGCGTGGTGATGTTGATTTGAAATGCGGAGGGAAAAACTGGAGGACCTGGAGAAAGATTGACGTCACCACGGGGAGAGAGACACGCAAACTCCAAATATACAAGCGTCATGGTCGAGGCTGAACCCATGACCTCCTGTATACCAGGCGAGGCATTACATATCTTGCCACTGGGCTGAGTGTGCTCAATGTCATCAGACCTCAGAAACCACATGGGGTTTGAGCGTGGCTAGTACTTGGATAGGACACTGTCTGGAAATACCAGGTGTTGTAGGGTTGGGCCGAGTGGTGGCCAGGATACAGCCAAGGGATTGATTGAGTCTGTGTGGAGCTTCCAGTGTTGCCTCCTCACTTGGATATATAAATGCGTTATTATTATAATTATTATAATTTAAACACATTAAGTGTTCTTGCTCTGCGGGGTCTGTACGGGACGTCTGGCAAAAACATTACCAAGCTGCAGCGTCTACAACATTCTCTGGCACGTGTTGTGACAGGTACTGCAAGTTACGACCGTGTCGTCCGCTCAGTGCTCGCCGAGCTGCATTGGCTACCGGTTGCCGAATGAACACATTTGAATGTCGCACTCATTACACACAAAGTGCTTGCCACAAATTAACCACAACACCTTGCCGATCTCGCCAAGGAGCATAAACAATCACGTGAATCCCAGTCATCCCCGCAGCGGGTTTTGGCTGGCCATCCAACAAAGACTGTCACCGCATCGCACGCTTTCAGATGCACTTCTGCGGCCGTCTGGAACAATCTTCCTTCCAATAGTAGAAAGCCAATGGAGCTATGCACTCTTAAATCCAGATTTTAAACTAATTTTTTTAATAATTGTTTTGTGTGTTTAGTCTGTTGTCCTTCCCCGCACCTCCGATTTCCGATTAACACAGTTGGCTACGTACGGTGCGAAAAAAGTCAACATGCATACAGTACATACACGGGAATTATCAGCGTTCTTTACATGCCTCTGGATTCCCCCGTTGCTTCTACGGCTAACTGTTCAGGTCTTGTTGGCTTGAATTCTGTTTTTGTATTGTTTGTTGGCTACTCGCGCCGGAGACGAGGACTCCGATGCCACACTTACAAATGCGGTTACAGATCTTGCGAGTGCAGCTGCCGGAGGGAGGGCTTAAAGCACCAGCCCTACGCCGTGCTTTTAACACAGCGTCACGGCATCGGTCTTTCCACCTGGGTCTGTCCCCAGTGCAACGAGTGCTTACGTTTGAGTGTCTTATCTCGCATGCTTTGAGGTTACAGTCTTCAATTACAAATTATATGTGTACTGTTTATATTACGATCCACATGGTGCACGTCACACTGTTTGTACAGCGTCTTAAAATGCAGTCACACAAATACAGGCAGACCTCGCTTCGCATTATTAGATGCGTTCCTGGGGAAGTGAACGCTAAACGAGTCGGCGCTAAAAGAGGTTATTATACCATTGCAGCGTTAATTCTTTCATACGAGCAACATATAAGGGCTTCATTGGGGTATCGGGAACAGAGCAAATACTAATAGAGATGCTAAATATTATTTCATAAAAAAATAATCCTTATTTGAAGCTTTAGTGACTGCAGGAATCCATACTCTTTGGTTCTTTCGGGAAAGTCACGTAGGTAGAAAAATAAAATAAAAAATAATAAATCACGACGTTTCGATCGCAACACAAGCAGTCGTCCTCAGGCAGAAAAAAACTAAAAAAATATGATCACTATTATTAAGCGCATTCTGTACTCTACAGCATCGCGCTAAGCATGGCTTGCCTGTATAATTTAATCCAAATTGTATTGTATTAACAAAATTAAGTGACCTGTGCTGTGGTAATACAATTAATTTGCTTCCTTCTAAATAAACATCGATTTACCGAGCATCGTCAATTGCGCGTATTGCCTCCGTGGAGTTGGGCAAAGTGTGCATCTGTGAAGGAGAAGTGGCTGGCTTTGGCTTTACCTGCCCAGGATTTCCAGAAGCTCTGCGATGCCGTTGTGATGCTCCGTCTCATAGATGAACCTAAGCGGCGACCACCACCGCAGCAGCAGCAACACATGGGCAAGGAAGAGGGAGGACAGAGGAAGAATAAGAAACCAATTCTCCATAGGATAATGCAACTCAATGTGCACCTCCTGTTAGAATGTGTTTGGCCTCAGTCGTGCTGTCGTCTGGACGGGTACCAAACCAAGTTAGCACTTTTGTACAGTTTTTAGTGTCAGTTTCATGACGTTCGGTGAAGAAAAAACAAAATATTAACAATGTAGGCTTTCGCATCAGGGTCAGGATCAAACCGACAACCTCCTGTATACCAGGCGAGGTAGTTAACATCCCACCACCGTGGTCCATCGCCCAACATAGCAAACAAATGAAATTGTGACACGTGCAAGCTCAATTATTGTTTTACTCACTCACGGGTGAGTTAACGAACAATCGTCATAGCCAATCTGTTTGTAGAGACATCGCTGGATGGCACCATGCTGTGGGTGCAGTGCCGGCCATAGGGGGGCACGGTGTTTGTGGAGTGACATCGCTGGATGGCACCATGCTGTGGGTGCAGTGCCGGCCATAGGGGGGCACGGTGTTTGTGGAGTGACATCGCTGGATGGCACCATGCTGTGGGTGCAGTGACGGCCCTAGAGGGGCACGGTGTTTGTGGAGTGACATCGCTGGATGTCACCATGCTGTGGGTGCAGTGCCGGCCATAGGGGGGCACGGTGTGTGTGGAGTGACATCGCTGGATGGCACCATGCTGTGGGTGCAGTGCCGTCCCTAGAGGACACGGCGAGTGTGTGTCTGTCCGAAGAGAGAGGTCGGGTAAGGCCATGGTACTCTGGTTGACCTGGGAAGGCACGTGACCGGTTTGAATGACAGGGGGGCCCCCAGAGGGGGCTAGGAGGGTCACGTGATTGGAACCCACGTTCTTCCCGATGGTTCTGGAAGGGAGGCATGGCCAAGGGTGGAGGCGGCCACGCCGCAGAGAATATAAGCCGAGTCCCGAGAGGGATCGGGGTTGTCCGTCCCGGGGAAGAAATCTTTTGTCTACGATCTCCGTTCTACGAGTCTTCCAGCACGTGGACCCAGGCAGCATGTTGTTGGTCCATAGCAAATAGTTATTCAAGTAACCAGTGTGGCTAGCCAGGGTGTTCACCACGCTAGGTCGTTGTGTTAAGGGTGAAGTCACCCTGTTGTGTTGGAACTAAATAAATGCTCTGCCTCCAAGTCGAAGAGTGCGACTCAGTTGAACCTACTACATTTGTATCCAATTGATAAAATTCGGTGGTGAAAATTTCCCTTCAACCTACCTCTTTGGTTGTAAGGCAATGCCTACCACGAATGATGGCGATGGTAAAGTACGCTGGAGCGTGTTTGTTTAGACAGAGTCTGGTCAAGGCGATGGCATGGTGGAGTTCCTGGTGTGTGGGCGCCATGGTGGCAAGATGTTAACTACCTTGCCTGGTATGCAGGAGGTTGTGGGTTCAATCCGGACCCTGACACCTGTATATTTGCAGTTTGCATGTCTCTCTCCCTGTGTTCGCGTGGATTTTTCTCCAGGTCCTTCGGTTTTTCCCTCCACATTAAGGATCATGCTGTTTATAGCATTTGGCTGCTACACATTTCCACGTGATACGCCACTTTGTTTAGCTATGGTTTGTGATCGCTAGGTCGCTTCTGAAAAAGAGCTATATAGCTCAGTGGGCCTGGTAAAATAAAAATAAAATTGTTTAGTTTTAGTTTAATAGTGTGGGTGCGGTGCTGACGCCCACCTGTAGAAGATGTTGTTGATCTGCTTGCGGATGTACGCCCGCAGCCCCAGAAACTTCCCGTAGATGCGGTGCAGCGTGGTCTTCAGGAAGTCCCTCTCGCGTGGGTCCTCGCTGTCAAAGAGGTCCAGCAGCTGCGCCCAGGCACGCGCTGTTAGCCATCGCCACTCACACTCAACCCCTACCCCTCATACCTTGACCACAACTAGAGCCAGAACCAAATACTCAAGGCAGCCTGCCTCCCGGTCACAACCTTATATTTAACATTTGTACTCCCGAAATGAGGTGAATATGTGTTTAATTTCTAAGAGTTATAACACAAGGTAGGCCGGGATGAGACCACAGTCGATCTTGCAGACTTTGAGGGCAATCTTGTTTGTGAGAAGGGAATGGATTTAAAGTACACGATGCACATCACTCGAAATGCACACCTACACACCCTACACGCACGCACTGTTGTGATAGTGGCTCACCTGCATGACAAACTTCTGATCGATGTATTTTTTCGCGACGTTTGGCTGGAAGTCCGGCGACTCCAAAAACCTCAGGAAGAACTCGTAAACCAACTGTGGGGGGTGGTGGGGGATAGTGGGGTTGGGAGGGCAGACAAAGACAAAGATCCTTCATAAAGCCTAGACAGACTGTTTCGGCAAGTGCTGTTAGCAAGCACCTATGAAGGCCGGCACGGCACACCAGGGGGTGAGTGGCCAGGACCACAAGCGACCACCTTTGTTCCCCTAATAGCACCAGGTACTCATTTGCGGCCGAGTCGACCTAGGGGAGGCCCACAACCGGTTCAGATATTCTTCACCGGTGTTGGCCGTGAGCGGGAATCAAACTAGGTCCAGCGAGATTCGTAGCGCAGTGCGCTGAGGAGGGCAGAGCCAGTGCAGTCACACACATAGGTTGGAGACCAGCTCACGAAACCGACTGCGACACAAAACCATCTCTATCCCTGTTTTGAGAATACTAACCCAGATGGGAGGTGCTGTGACAGAGCACAAAAGACTCCACATCATCGAAAAAGTTTGGAATCAAATACTGTGCGGGTCGTGAACCGGATTACGGCTGCTGGTTCAGGGCCGCCACAAAAGATAAACAACCCACGCCCCCTCACCGTTTACCCACGGAGACACTTTGTAATCTATCAAACTCTCTCCTGGTTCAGCATCCTCATCAGCCGGCGCAATACTTTTCCCAACACACCAGAGACTTGACGTTTGTTTTACCCTATTCCCCTTACACCAGTGGTTCTCAACCGGGGTTATGCGGACCCCTGGGGGTACACGTGGCAATATCCCAGTGGTAACGTGAGGTGAATTATAAACGTGTGAAATCATATCATGAGTCATTGATGAATAATCATGTATGAATCTGCCAAGATAAAATTACTACTATGGCATTTTAATCCATATCGTAATCTAGAACGATGTAAAAAACCTTTCTAAACTCATTGATCTTAAACGATGCGATTTCCCAGGGTACCCAGCGAGCGGGACTAAATTGCGTCGTGCTTACAGAGCGTCTGTTGACTGTGTTTATTCGCTTGCAGTTACGAGCGAGTTTGGATACCTCACAAAATGGACCGTTTTGTCATAATTAGGAATCATCAGTAGATATAGTCACCAACGCTCACCGCTGAAACAAGTCCGTCTCTGGGAACCATCACAATACTGCTTTGCATTCACGTAGTTCAGGTCCCAAAAAGAAACCGAGGGTCCAGTCTCAAGTTTGTTCGTTGCAATCAGTACATATCCCCAAAAATGGATACAAGTTAAATCCAGTACGGTCATCTGTCGGCCACAAAAACCTCTCCCCGACTCTTGTTTAATTGGCGAGAGATGTATAGGTGCATTCACGTAGTTCAGGTCCCAAAAAGAAACCGAGGGTCCAGTCTCAAGTTTGTTCGTTGCAATCAGTACATATCCCCAAAAATGGATACAAGTTAAATCCAGTACGGTCATCTGTCGGCCACAAAAACCTCTCCCCGACTCTTGTTTAATTGGCGAGAGATGTATAGGCGCTAATTAATCGGCTGGAAACATGCATTTAGCAAATGCTTTTTACACGAGACAATCACACAGTTAAGAGCTGTAAATGTCTAATCGAGGACTATAGGACTTGGGCAATTGTTAGCAGCTGCGGTTCAACCGCATGGCTGCTGCCTTCATCTGTGGTTGCTCAGCCCTTGTGAGATGCAATTTGCACGAATTGCAATGCTTTATAAAAAAAATATTAAAGATTATTATTACATGCAAAGTTGAAAGGTTGTGGTTGGGAAAATGTCATTATGGAGAAATGACACTCCCAACTAAATGTGTTGTTATCCATGAGTCAGTGATGTTGGGCAGACATTGCAGTTTTTACTTTTTCCCCAAGTCATTGATTGGTACCACGGTGGCAAGATGTTAACTACCTTGCCTGATATACAGGAGATCGTGGGTTTGATTCCAATCCCGACCCTAATGCCGGCATATTTGAGTTTGCATGTTCTCCCCGTAGATGCGTAGATGTTTCTCCGGGTCCTCCGGTTTTTCCTCCACATTTAGAAACATAAATTTGGAGTATTTAGCTGCTATACATTTTCACGTGATCAGCCACTGAGTTGGGCTATCATTTGTGACCAGGTGACTTCTAAAAAAGAGAGCTATATAGTTCAGTGGGCCTTACCTGGTCAAATAAAAAATAGTTCATAGTTTTTAGTTTGATTGTGGACAGCTGTGACACCGTGTCAGCTGAGTTAGGTGGTTGCAGCTAGGTTTCACTTTACTCACTATCACAGTCCTATTTACCTACAGTTTTTAATTGAAGATGCAGATGCTGATGGAACCGATGACACTGGGGGTTTGAGCAGCGGGGTTTTAAACCTATGATAAAAAAATAAAGCGGATTTGGCGGAGAACCGTGGATTGATGACAGAGTGGTGGCTGACCTCTAAAATATCTCACGAATAAATGTTCAGGAGAGCGACATTTCTCCTCAACACATGAGCGTACGTAACTGTGACCATTGTCTCATGATGCGAGCTGAAAAAGGGGGTGGGGGCATTGCTCATTTCCATAGATCAGTAAAGGCCGTGGATCCACCAAAATAATTTTTGAATTCATCTTCTTGGTTCTTTCGGTAAAGTCACGTAGAATGGAAATAATAAAAAAATAAAACATAATAAAAGAATTCTCACGACGTTTCGGCCACAACGCAAGCAGCCGTCCTCAGGTGGAGAGCAGGTCTGTCGAGTAAACAGAGTCTGAATGAGTAGACTGTCTACTCGACAGACCTGCCTCTCCACCTGAGGACGGCTGCTTGCGTTGTGGCCGAAACGTCGTGAGAATTATTTTATTATGTTTTATTTTTATTATTTTCATTCTATGTGACTTTACCAAAAGAACCAAGAAGATTAATCCCTGCAGTCACGAAAGCTTTAAAATCGAAATTTTTTAATTGTTTATGGAAACTGTCACCAGCAACACATGAAACATGAGCGACTGGCAACTTGGCAGCCAGCGTGATGCTGTGACAGACTTCGAGCCAATAATAGACGCGTGTTTGCTTAGCAATGACGGTTCTCGTTCCACAGACTTTCAATTAATCCGTTAACGAAATAATCTGCTAAGGGGGTCCCCCATCTTTCCCACCAGACCACACCGGAATGCCGCAAAAACACTATCACATCCAAATCCCACTCAAAATTAACCTCCATTTTTTTCAAACGAAGAGAGCGTGATATCAGTCCGTCATGTCCCTTCAGTCTTCGACCAGATTTATTCAGATTTTAAGCAAATTAGATTTTGACAAATAGGAAACCCTGTGTAAAAAGCATTTGCCGGCAACGACTGCCAGAGCAGTTCTAGCTTTCTTTAATGGGCAGGAGACCAAACAGATGAGAAAGGAAGATGATGGCGCTGCAACGCGAGAGCGGGGAGGAAAGGGATGCGGAGTCCGGTGGCCGTGATGCGTCTCGCGTCACCTGGAGGTGCGGCCAGGCGGCCTCCAGCGTGGGCTCATCCTCCTCGGGGTCAAACTCAGCCCCCGTCGGGTTGGAGGACGGTGGCAGCGTGCGGAACATGTTCACCGAGAACTGGGGGTGCAGAGATCACAGGCACACCGATGCACGAACCGCGACACCATCAACACAGACTATACAAACATCATTCATTCAAGAAGAACCTGAATGTGATCAGCGCAGAAGTCAACTAAACTTTCTATATCCAGGTAAGGCCCAATGAGCTGTACAGCTCTTTCTCATAAGTGACCTGGCCGTAATGATAGCTCAACGAAGTGGCTTATCATGTGGAAATGTATGGCAGACAAATCATCTAAATGCATGTTTATAAATGTGGAGGGAAAACCCGGAGGACCTGGAGAAAAATCCAAGCGACCACGGGGAGACCATGCAAACTCCAAATATACAGGCGTCAGGGTTGGGATCCAACCCACGACATCCTACATACCAGGCAAGGTAGTTAACATCTCAACCCTGACCCAAGATGCTACGATCAAATATCACTCCTCTGCACATGCCATAAGCTGACAGAGAGGCTTCTCGTAGCGAGGTAGACAATTTTAAAATTTATTATTTCTGACGTTGCACATTCAATCGTCCGGAGACACGTGCAAAAAATATATATTTGCTGACCCAGAGCTGCTCATGCCTCTCAAAACCGAGCCTGCACTACTATACTATCTTCACACACCAACATCTCTAAACTTCTATCATTGGACAAGGACCCCTTCTGTCGGTGATGCAAAGCCTGGTCTGTTGAACCATTCCCCAGCAAGATCCTTATCCTTAACATGACAAAGCAGCTATCTGGCCTCTCTCTCCCACAGAGACTTTGGCCGATAATCAGCCACACAACTGCACACGGCAGATTCAGTTACCTCCTACATTTGCGAATAATGGATTCACAAATTTACGACTTTAGTGAAATCCAGACTGTCACCCACGTTATGAACAACTGCCCACTGCAGGTCTCCGAAGGAAATTCACCTGACATTCCTTTGAAGCCATACAACTGCTTTCGAACATCATTGGGTAAAACTAGCCAGTGGCTCTTTCTTGCACCATACAAAAAGCATGATAATCAATGAATGAGCGAGCGAGTGAGCGAGCCACGTACCACGTGCACCACCTCCGGGTAGATGGGCTCGGTGATGACGCCGCGGCTGTGTGTGATGTACTCCACCATCTCGTTCAGCGCCGCCCTCTTCACCTCCTTCCACTTGAGGTCGCTGAGCGGGTCCGACACGAAGTCGAACAGCACGCAGCACTGCTGCAGCTTCTGCACAAACAGCTCCTCCCGCTCGGCCGCTGACGCATCTAACCAGGGCACGAAACACACGAGCGGGCAGCAGCGGCCCCCACCGGTTCAGTCAACGGACAAGTACTATGAGCGAGCACCTACCCTTAAGCCAGACAGACTGGAGGAGTGCCGCGATGGTGAGATGTTAACTCCCTCGCTTGGTACGCAGGAGGTCGGGGGTTCGATCCCGAACCTGATGCCTGCTCTATATTTGGTGTTTGCGTGTCTCTCTCCCTGTGATTGCGTGGATTATTTCTCCGGGCCCTCTGGTTTCCCCCTCCACATTTAGAAATGTCTTTAAGAATATATAGTTGCTATAAATGTGCACGTGATAAGCCACTTTGCTGAGCTATCATTTGTGGCCAGGTTGCTTCTGAAGAAAGAGCTATATAGCTCAGTGGGCTTCACCTGGTAAAATAAAAGAGTTTAGTTTCATAGTTTTTAATTGAAAATAGTAGGTGCAAGTGCTGTTAGCGAACAGCTACCCTTCAGACAGACACTGTATGGGCAAGTGCTGTCAACGAGTATCTATCAAGGCTGGGTTTTGCTTGTCACGACATCTTTACATTTTGGGCGCATAAATGGCTATTGCGGTTGTTGTTTTGTGGCAATTTAAATGTCACCCGGCCATGAGAAGTGATTATTTACTGTAAAGCTCGTACACTAACGAGGTTCAGTGGTCGAATGCGGTGGTTTGTGGTATAGTGGTTAAGGGGAGTAGGACTGCAATTGTGTAAATCTGCTAAAAGTGAGCAAGACCGGCATCTGGCCCACTTGTATTGTAAAAATGGGACCCAGGGCACCCTTAAAGACGCATTCCCAATACAAACCGGATTAATCTCACAGATATTTGCCGAGACTGGGTGCTCCAGGGTCTCCAACACACATATTAAGCTTTGATCATGAGAAAAGGGACTCAAATCATGGTCACATGCACAGCTGCATCGCTCCAGCGACATCACTGCATTGGCTCTGCATTACAGTGCAGGGGAGTGGCATCAAATAGAATGTCACCCCGAGTGCACAAATACAGGATAAGCTCCGTCTTATGGGTTGGGTCTTCCTCTACACCTCACCAAGCCTGACTGAAGCCCACTTGGCGTGAAGAGAATCAGAATAGAGCCCTGAATGTTGAGATTAAGGCGGCAGTGAATCAGACTTTTGAGGCCTTGCAAACTGGCTCAATGGCCACGAGGTCACATGCACTGAACATATGTGCATACATGTGTGTAGATGTGTTAAGGTTTATGCAACATGGTTAGATGGGTATGTTTCGAATCCCCTATTTAAGCAATACGATACCAAGATAAGGGATAGGGTTCAAATTACACGACACTGATTTATTCATTATAAACGCACTGTACAGTGAGAATCTATAGACAACATGGAAGATAAAAAAATGTGAATTTAGTCTCATGTGACTGGTGTTTAACAGAAAAGTGAAGCCCGTGATACTGTGCGGATCAGAGCTAGACCTTAACAAAAGAGTATCACGTTAGCGAAGAGCCAATCAGTAAGAGGGTCAGTTAGCAGATGGGTACGCGAGTGGGAGAACAATCTTGGACGTGCAGGTCCGTCCATAGAGACCACAAGCAAAGTCACCGTCTCCGCTCTGTGCAGCCTCCAAATTTAATGTTCAAGTTTTTTTTTGACAATAGCATGAATAAAGTGATTCCCTGCATGAACCGCGTAAGAAATTGTGTTGATGGGACGTGGGCCTACAGCTGTGACCCAACGGTGACATTGGCGGGCGGAATCAATCAATATATCTATTTTACATGCCAACATCTATTGCCCTCAATATAGTAGGCATCAGTGCACAGAACAGCAGAACGGGACAGTGGTGAAGAGATGTTAACTACCTCGCTTGGCATACAGGAGGACGTGGGTTCAATCTCGACCCTGAGGCCTGCTGCTGCTGTATACTTGGAGTTTGCGTGTCTCTCTCCGGATCTTCCGGCTTGTTCTTGCCCATTTAGATCCAAACGCGTTTTAGAGTATTTGGCTGCTATACATTTTCAAATAAGCCACTTCGTTGAGCTATCATTTGTGGCCAGGTCGCTTCTGAAAAATATCTATATGGCTCAGTGGGCTTAACATAGTAATATAAAAAAAATTAGTTTGAAATGTCATGACCTCTGCGGCTAACACCAATTGGGTAACAAAAATTGGAACCGCGTGCAAAATAAAGTGCAACCGTGCGCAACGAACAGTAAAGGAGAGTAGTAAAGAAAATAAACAATGAGTAAAGAAACAATTCGTTTTTATTTTAGATTTCAATCTAAACTAAAAACCATTTTTTTCTTTTACCAGGTTAAGGCCGACCGAGCTGTGTAGCTTGGTTTTCAGAAGTGACCCGGCCATCACAAACAATAGCTGGACGAAAGCGGCCTACATCACGTGGAAATGTATAGCAGGAGGAAAACACTCTCAAAACACAATGGAATCGGCAGCGGCCAGGCAGCGGCCAGGCCCACGGCCGCGTGTTCACCTTTGAGCGCCGGCAGCTTCTGCAGCTCGCGGTCCTTGCTGACGTTGAAGTGCGACGAGCTCTGCCGCTTCTCCTTCTTGACGATGTGCGGGGGCCCCGCATACTTCACCTTGTTCAGCGGCGTCTGCGGCGGCGGAGGAGGTGGCGCCGCTGTCTGGCTACTGTTGGGCTTCTTGCCGCTCCCTCCAGCTGCAGCGGCAGCCGCTGATGCTGCCGTTGCCTGAGTGGCGGCACGCGCAAAGACAAAGATTCTCACCCCCCCGTACAGCCTTAACAGACCGTATGTTGAACTCCTTTCGCACCATACGTAGAAAACCGTGCTAATCAGGTGCGGGGGAAGGACCACAAACTAACACAAACCAGTTCTAAAGAAATTAGTTGCTCCACATCATACAAACATTTTTGTTAGCAAGCACATATGAAGGTCGGCACGTCACACGAGGGGGTGGGTGGCCAACACCACACCCGGCCACCTTTGTCTCCCTAGTGGCGATGTTTACACACCGCACGAGGTACTCATTTGAGGCGGAGTCGACCTCGGAGAGGCCAATAACTGGTTAAGATAATTAATCGTCACTGGTGTTGGCCGTGAGCGGGAATCGAACTCGGGTCACCAGGTTCTCTTGCGCAGTGCACCAACCGCGACACTCTGCACTTTTAAATAGGAATTTAAATTTCATTTCTTTAAGAACAGTTTTTTTTTGTTTAGTTTGTTGTCCTTTCCCCGCACTTCCATGGCTGGCTACGTACGGTGTGAAAGACGTTCAACATACGTATATACATACAAGAGCCACTCATCTCTGATGGCAACCCGGAGCCATCATCATCACCATCATTGTCTATCCGTTGCTGTAAATGAAGGCCGCACAACGCCAACCATGTGTAACGATCCAGTGATGTCACATCCACCTGGCCCCGTCTATTCGGTGGTCACTCTCAGGAAGGTCCTCTCCGTTGGCCGCTCTGCTTTATAATCGCAACGTTCTCTCGTCTGTCACAACGGTCAGAAAGTTTGATAGGCGTCGCTAACCGCACGGTGAACGGCACGTGTTTGCAACGATACCGCCATCACCGGCCGTGCGTGCGTGTGTACAGCGCGGGTCCTTCTCGTGGTTATATGGAGGCTGGCGAGGTGTAAACTAAAAACAAGGCCAAGAATTTCCAAAGGCAGCCACCCCGAGCCCCTGGCACAGGGCGAAGACTTCACTCGCTGCCTTGCTGGATCACGCGTTGCGTTTGAAGCCGCTGAAGCGACTGTTTGATCACAACCCAAACACAAAGTCACATTGTCGCTTAAAAATAAATATATACGAGGTGATGTTTTGGGCAATGGTCCTTCTTCGTAGCACCTAAACATTTGCTTCAGTTATGTGCGATGAGAAGGGCCACTGCCAGAAATATTGCGGATTATATTCTTTCTTTCAAGGCCAGAGTCAATGACGAATGTTTGGAGTCTGTTAATTGTGTCAAAGCAGCAGCATCACGAACTAATGTGCTTACGTTGAAGGTTGCAGGTTGTCTAATCCCAAACAGAACCCTCTCTCATCCCATACAGAACCCTCATCTCATCCCATACAGAACCCTCATCTCATCCCATACAGAACCCTCATCTGATCCCATACAGAACCCTCTCTCATCCCATACAGAACTCTCATCTCATCCCATACAGAACCCTCATCTCATCCCATACAGAACCCTCATCTCATCCCATACAGAACCCTCCTCTCATCCTATACAGAACCCTCCTCTCATCCCATACAGAACCCTGCTCTCATCCCATACAGAAACCTCGTCTCATCCCATACAGAGCCCTCTCTCATCCCATACAGAACCCTCATCTCATCCCATACAGAACCCTCATCTCATCCCATACAGAACCCTCATCTCATCCCATACAGAACCCTCCTCTCATCCCATAAAGAACCCTCATCTCATCCCATACAGAACCCTCTCTCATCCCATACAGAACCCTCATCTCATCCCATAAAGAACCCTCATCTCATCCCATACAGAACCCTCATCTCATCCCATAAAGAACCCTCATCTCATCCTATACAGAACCCTCCTCTCATCCCATACATAACCCTTATCCCATACAGAACCCTGGTCTCATCCCATACAGAACCCTCCTCTCATCCCATACAGAACCCTTATCCCATACAGAACCCTGGTCTCATCCCATACAGAACCCTCATCTCATCCTATACAGAACCCTCATCTCATCCCATACAGAACCCTCCTCTCATCCCATAAATAATCCTCATCTCATCCCATACAGAACCCTCTCTCATCCCATACAGAACCCTTATCCCATACAGAACCCTGGTCTCATCCCATACAGAACCCTCCTCTCATCCCATACAGAACCCTTGTCCCATACAGAACCCTGGTCTCATCCCATACAGAACCATCCTCTCATCCCATACAGAACCCTTGTCCCATACAGAACCCTGGTCTCATCCCATACAGAACCCTCCTCTCATCCCATACAGAACCCTTATCCCATACAGAACCCTGGTCTCATCCCATACAGAACCCTCCTCTCATCCCATACAGAACCCTGCTCTCATCCCATACAGAACCCTCGTCTCATCCCATACAGAGCCCTCTCTCATCCCATACAGAACCCTCATCTCATCCCATAAAGAACCCTCATCTCATCCCATAAAGAACCCTCATCTCATCCCATACAGAACCCTCATCTCATCCCATACAGAACCCTCCTCTCATCCCATAAAGAACCCTCATCTCATCCCATACAGAACCCTCCTCTCATCCCATACAGAACCCTCTCTCATCCCATACAGAACCCTCCTCTCATCCCATACAGAACCCTGCTCTCATCCCATACAGAACCCTCATCTCATCCCATACAGAACCCTCATCTCATCCCATACAGAACCCTGCTCTCATCCCATACAGAACCCTCGTCTCATCCCATACAGAGCCCTCTCTCATCCCATAAAGAACCCTCATCTCATCCCATACAGAACCCTCATCTCATCCCATACAGAACCCTCCTCTCATCCCATAAAGAACCCTCATCTCATCCCATACAGAACCCTCTCTCATCCCATACAGAACCCTCATCTCATCCCATAAAGAACTCTCATCTCATCCTATACAGAACCCTCCTCTCATCCCATACAGAACCCTGGTCTCATCCCATACAGAACCCTCCTCTCATCCCATACAGAACCCTTATCCCATACAGAACCCTGGTCTCATCCCATACAGAACCCTCATCTCATCCCATACAGAACCCTCATCTCATCCCATACAGAACCCTCATCTCATCCCATAAAGAACCCTCATCTCATCCCATACAGAACCCTCATCTCATCCCATAAAGAACCCTCATCTCATCCTATACAGAACCCTCCTCTCATCCCATACAGAACCCTTATCCCATACATGAACCCTGGTCTCATCCCATACAGAACCCTCCTCTCATCCCATACAGAACCCTTGTCCCATACAGAACCCTGGTCTCATCCCATACAGAACCCTCCTCTCATCCCATACAGAACCCTTATCCCATACAGAACCCTGGTCTCATCCCATACAGAACCCTCTCTCATCCTATACAGAACCCTCATCTCATCCCATACAGAACCCTCATCTCATCCTATACAGAACCCTCATCTCATCCCATACAGAACCCTCATCTCATCCCATACAGAACCCTCATCTCATCCCATACAGAACCCTCATCTCATCCCATACAGAACCCTCATCTCATCCCATACAGAAACCTCATCTCATCCAATAGAGCCGATCTACCTCGTGTCATTTCATATAGAAGCCTCACATCAGCAAAAGAAACTCATGACTGCTCATGAACCAAGTACTATTTTTTCAAGGCACCAGTGTGATCTCCAACCCTAACAGAGTCAATGCCTCTCCCCTCTACTCTGAAAAAGGGAAAAAGTTTATACCATCAGCTTACTATAAATGTGTTAATTGTTTTTAATTTATATTTGTTATCCATAAAGACCCTTAATCTCATACAATAGAAAGCCTTGTTGACATTGAACAGTGAAACCTTGACTCATCCAATACAGGTCCCTTGTCTCACAGCAGAACATTTGACCAAACTAATACAGAAGCTACCTCATCCCCATTACCAAATGCTGCTCTAATTTTTGAACGAAACATTATTTTGTGATGCTGCTTTGGCATTGGTACACAAGCACACTTAATAACTAACTCACATTTGCCAAAAACGCTGTCAACACGTCGAGTCCTCGTCCATTAAGCGGCCCTCATCTCATACGACACAAAATCCTCAAGTCACATAGGAAGGGATAATTTGTTTTGACCCAATGCAACCATCTTCTCACGCGATGGCAAACCCCCTCGCCTCTAACCCAATAAAGAACCGTTGTCTCATCACAGTGCCTCAGTCTTGTCTCGCAGATTGCCCGCCACTTGAAGCGATCGTTCAAATTAAACTCGGCATTCATTAATTCGAGTGAGGGGTGTGTAACGAGGTACAACGCCCCCGTGTCAATCCACTGCTGGATGAGGCCTCGCCACGACATGTTGATCGTGCAGCTTCTTTGCCCGCACTTGGCCACGCCAGTCGGTAATTATGTGTCGGTGAAGACTGGAAGCACACGACGGGGGAATAGAAGTACAGCACAACGGTGTATTTCACTGTGTCGCCGCTATCTGCTGCCTCCACAACGTAACCACGCTAGGCCCACAGGTGACAGCGCCCGGTTGTGCATTGCGATCACCCATCCAAGCACTTATCCTAGGCTCAAACCCTTGCTTAGCTTGCGAGACTGGGCGGAATGCCGGTGACCGGGTCTCGGGCTCGGGGGGACTCACCTCATCTGTGTTCTCGGGAGCTTCTTTCGCTGACTTTTTCCCATCCTTAGAGGCTTTCGCAGGCTCCTGCCACAGACAGGGAGAGAGATGGAGAGAAAGAACAAAAGAGAAAACAGATAATAGAGATGGTATTAGAGAGAAATCACTGTTGTGAAAGATGTATGAAAATAATAGTATGCAAATTTTTATATGGATAGGATTCAGGGTAGTGCAGTGGCAACACTCCTGCCTCACAGCAAGAAGAGACTGGGTTGAATGCCCAGCTCAGGTGCCTTTCTCTTTGGAGTGTGTGTGAGTCTTCGCCGGTTGGAAACATTTAGACTGGCCTGCCTACGATCCATCCTGGGTTTAACCAGGCTGGATTGTGTGAGGAGCTCACAAATCCTTGAAAGATCTGGGCAAAGTCCCATCGGTGAGCTCCTCCGGCAGGCAAGGCTGCGTTGGCTGGGTCATGTAGCCCTGCATGCCCAGCCACCACATGCCTAAACAGCTTTTGTTCGGCCAGATCGAGGGGGCTAAACGGGCGCGGCACGGGCTAGAGAAGAGATGGAGTGATGTGGTACAGGAGGACGTGGAGCTGAGTGGACTTGCCGATGACTGGTACCAGCGGTGTCAAGATCGGCCTCTGTGGAGGAGGCTCGTGAAGGACGCTACTGGGCAGTTGGAGGCAGTCGCCCTCCAACAACAACGGAGGGCGGAGAAGCGATGCTCACAACAACGAGCGGAGTGCCGGGTGGCTAAAGCACAGCAAGTTGGTACAGTAGGGGGCACAGGTGGTGCATCAGCCAGTCATCTCGATCATCTCGGTCAGTCGACCCATAGCACCTGGGTCTGCACCGTGACTTCCTGCCAGCGGGCATTCGACACTTCACGTGGCCTCAAGGTGCACATGGCCTGGCACAAGCATCGTGGTGACGTCACCGCCACTTAGTGGCGAATGGCGGTTGTTGTTGTGTGTGAGTGTGTGAGTGTGTGTGAGTGTGTGTGAGTGTGTGAGTGTGTGTGTGAGTGTGTGAGTGTGTGTCTGAGTGTTTGTGTGAGTGTGTGAGTGAGTGTGAGTGTGTGAGTGAGTGTGTGAGTGTGTGTGAGTGTGTGTGAGTGTGTGTGAGTGAGTGTGTGTGAAAGTGTGTGTGTAAGTGAGTGTGAGAGTGAGTGTGTGAGTGTGTGTGAGAGTGAGTGTGTGAGTGAGTGTGTGTCTGAGTGTGTGTCTGAGTGTTTGTGTGAGTATGTGTCTGAGTGTTTGTGTGAGTGTGTGTGTGAGTGTGTGAGTGAGTGTGTGTGAGTGAGTGTGTGAGTGAGTGTGTGAGTGAGTGTGTGAGTGAGTGTGTGAGAGTGAGTGTGTGAGAGTGTGTGTGTGAGTGAGTGAGTGTGAGAGTGAGTGTGTGTGAGTGTGTGTGAGTGTGTGTGAGTGAGTGTGTGAGTGAGTGTGTGAGAGTGTGTGTGAGTGTGTGAGTGAGTGTGTGAGAGTGTGTGTGAGAGTGTGTGAGTGAGTGTGTGAGTGAGTGTGAGAGTGAGTGTGTGTGTGTGAGTGAGTGTGTGTGTTCTCCCCCTGTTCTGCATGGATTTCTTCCCAGTGCTCCAGTTTCCTCCCATCGCAAAAAAATGGTATTGGCCAAAACATTTCAATGCCAAAACACTACCTGCAAATTACTCAATTGGGATTACACAAAGCAATGTTGCTCCCAGCTGTGAAAAGACTTGGCAGGACACTAAACTATCTAAAGTATTTTTTATTTTACCAGGTGAAGCCCACTGAGCTATATAGCTCTTTTCAGAAGCGACCTGGCCACAAATGATAGCCCAATTAAGTGGCTTATGTGGAAATTTATAGCAGCCAAATACCCTGAATGTATGTTGTTTCTAAATGTGGAGGGAAAACCTGAGCACCTGGAGAAAAATCCACGGGACCATGGGGAGAGACGCATGCAAACTCCAAATATACAGGCATCAGGGTCGGGATTGAATCCATTGCCTCCTGCATACCAGGCGAGGTAGTTAACATCTCGCGGGGGCTGTTAATTTAGGATTTCCTGGGTAAAGAGGTGTAGTAATGATGAATTAAAAGTTCATTAAATTGAGGCAAGACTATTGAAATGTGTGGTAATGCATTACATTGAGAGTGTTCATTCACCCCATAGTGATCCTTGCATGTGGTAATATGCTCAGGAGCTAAACACATCGAGGTCTGCTAGCCGTGATAGCATGGCAGGGGATTTAATTTACAATAAAACAATCACTGTTATGCTAAGATAATGAGAAAAACACACAATATTGTTCGGCAATGCAAGAGCTGCGAAAAACGAGATACAGTAATACCCCGGTTTATGTCGGGGATGTGTTCCTGAAAGTTGCGGCGACGAATATCGAAACGACGTCAATCAAAGCAAACATCGTCTGCACGCTGCCGAGAGCTAAACAAAGACAGCGGCGGGTACGGTGAAGCCATGCCATGTGTTCATCATAGACGTGCTCACGTTACATTGAATTACAAACAATTACACACCAGTGTACAGCAGTAAACTTTAACACACATTATACAGGATACGATAAGATTCAATATCCTATAAAAATACCAAAATACCGTACTTCAATAATATATTGCACTCTACAGTACATTTGTTAATGTGGAATGCAAAGTAGTTCGTCTACAGGGTAGGTAGAGGCCAAGGCTGAGAGGCGACAGATACGAGATGGGACAGATGATGATACTTCTCAAGACGCAAATCGAGGAGCGGCGTCAATAACAAAGCGACGTGTTTACAAAGCGGTGCCAAAGGGGGAGACGTAAATCGGGGTATAACTGTACACAAAACATGTCTGTCTGTTGTATGATTTATAAATGGGGCATGTGTCGTACTACCGAGCTATTGAAATTGGTAGAACGGAAGCATCATTCGCAGGTCAAAGGGAAAACTTTTTGGAATTTCAACATCAGTCGCTGAATAACCAACAATATCCAATTTCAACATCAGTCGCTGCATAACCAACAATATACAATTTCTCCTCCCCATATTTGGGGGGGGAGGGACGACGACGACATGTTTTAACTTTTGTTTCTGAACCTATGCATATAGAAGATTGTCTCTGGAGGTTTTGAAAGGTGCTAAATCCAAGTAATATCTCCACTAAGAATGTGAATGTGTGTTTTTTAGAGTGACACGTACAGTCCAACCACCAGTCACAAGTGCAATGTGACGTCAATAATTAATTGTAAGTGCACTATTGGATGGATGTATCACGAGCGTAAGAATCAATTTGAACAGAAGAATCGCTACATCGGCAGTCGTAGCCACACAGCCATTTGTGACCACACAAGAAGCATTACGTGCAAATCTGGCTTCAATTAAATTCAGCCAAATCCATATTTTGGTGTTCAATTTCATATATCGGATAACAAGTGCAAACCATATAAAACCTAGAGGATGATGGGTTTAGTAAACCCCTCGGTGGGATTTGAACTCACATGTTGCTGATTGCAAGACGTATAATAATGCATTCCTGTAACACGAACACACAGTGTTTGCTCACTCTCGAAGAGCGAGAACTATGAAGGCGCAAGGAACCACAAACGAGCGGGAACGACAACCAGGAAGTGAGCCGGCACGAAATCGCCCCCCCCCCCCGAACCTCTGTGACCCTCTATATATCAAGGTGTTGCTATTAGCAGTCAATTAACCCTTTCCCATTCCGATGACGTACATGTATGTCATCAGTATCTCTTTAGATTCTGTTCCGACGATGTACGTGTACGACATCAGGATGCAATCGGAACAGAACTGTAAGATAAAATAAGTTTATCGGCATGGAGGCTCCCACAAGGCCATGCAGGAGGATGTGTGGCACAGTTTGGCACCAGCTATCGTAGAGTGCAGTCGTGTTGCTACGGTTCTCTGCAGTGAGTGCAATATGTTTAACGGCGCTATTCCTCGGTAAATAAAATTAATGCCAAACTGCTGGCGCTGTCCGAGATTGAGCGGTGATCAGGACCTGCCCCGTAATTTGAGGTTGTCTCGGAACGGGAAAAGGTTAATGAAACCAGAGCAGCTTGAGAAAACCCAAGCGTGCGAGGGGGCAACACTCTATCCCATGCAGACGAAACAGGTGGGGTCCATGTTTTGTGTACCGCCTTCTCCTAGCAAGAAAGGGTAAGGTACCGATGCCCGTGGGAAGGAGTTCCACAAGCAGAGTGAGCCACCAACCCTGGCCTCCACAGTGCTGATGTAGAGGCAAGCGTCACGACCATCTGGCTCATTGTGAAGAGTCGCGCACTCTAACGACATTACTAACTCATCCTATGCATTAAAACATTTAAAATTAAAATGTTCACTTCACCAACACTTTATTGGATGACATGTGACCACCCACTCTTTACAGAGAATAAAGGAGGCAAGTGTTAGTTGCGGGTGAGGAGGCCGAACTAATCGACTCTTGCAGAAGTTCCGTGATGTCTTTCCCTGGCGTGACCATGTGAGGCTCTGCTGACCAACGAGTTACAGAAGGCATGCTTCTTCACCTCACACCACGCCTGCCACGAATGCACAACTGGGGAGCTGTTCTGTGCGTTCAAAAACCCAACGTGTCTTGATGCTCACAAGCGCACGCGGAAATGTTCATCTCTGTCGGCAGCTTTAAGCCAGTGGTGGAAATTCTACATTCCTGTAGTGGGGGATGACAACGTGTGACTTCCCACTAAGCTGTAATATGAGCAATTCTGGATGAGGGGTTCAATGGACTCCCCAGGTAAGGCCCACTGAGCTATGGAGCTCTTTTTCAGAAGTGACTTGGCCACACATTTATGGCAGCCAATACTCTAAACTCATGTTTACAAATGTGGAGGGAAAAACTGAAGGGCATGGAGAAAAATTCACTGCGACCACGGGGAGAACATGCAAACTCCAAATATACAAGCGTCAGGGTCGAGATTGAACCCACGACCTCCTGCGTACAAGGTGAGGGAGTTAACATCTCGCCACCGCGGCGCCAAATAATTACGCTTGGGGATTCGCACACACGTAAACACAGATACACGTTTGTAGTTCACAGAGTACACTCGAAATAACACATTG